TCCCCTCAAAGAGACCTCAAAGCACCAAAAGGGACAGAAGAGTAAGATGGATGAATAAATGAAACCTTTAGATATGAGAGTTCTTCAAAATACTAACCATAATGTTGTCCTGGGATCCAGACACCCCCCGAGAGAAATGAAAGCATGTACTGGCACAAACGCCCATACACAAAGTTCACATTCACACTATTCAGAGTGAGCAAATGGTAGAGATAATGTATTGAACTAATGGACAAACATACCCTACCCTATTCAGTATTAGTCCTCAATGAAAAGAAATGAAGTTCTAATTCATGTCACACCATGAATAAACCTGGAAAACATTTTGCCAAGTGAAAAAAGTCAGGCACAGAATACCACATGTTGTATGAATCTATTCAGTGGAAATGTCTAGACTGGGCAAATCTATAGTCATAGAGCATGAATGAGAGGCTGCCTTGGGGTTGAGGAAAATGGATAAATGGCCACTAATTATATAGGGGTTCCTTTTAAAGATCCAAAGTGAAGTTAATTGGTTGCCCCGTTTTGTGAATAGACTGAAAACTGTTGTGTTGTGCCCTTTAAATGGGTGAATTATATGGCCCATGAATTCCATCCAGCTTGTCACAATGGGGGCTGCAGAGATGGCTCAGTGGTTAAGAACACTTGCTGCTCAAACACGAAGACTGAAGTTCAGATCCCAGCACCACCATTGGGCAGCTCACAGATACCTATAACCTACAGGCATGGTATTACATGCCTATAGTTCCAGCACTAAGGAGTCAGAGGCAGGTGGATCTCTATGAGTTTGAGGTCAGCTTGATCTACATAGCCTGTTCCAGGCCAGCCAATGCTGCATAGTGAGACCCTGTTTCAATAAAACTAAAAAACAAACAAAACCTCTAAATGTCTGTGACACCAGCTCTAAGAATCTGATGCCCTATTCTGAACCCTGCAGGCACCACACATACCTGTGTGTGTGCATGCACACACACACACACACACACACACACAGAGAGAGAGAGAGAGAGAGAGAGAGAGAGAGAGAGAGAGAGAGAGAGAGAGAGAGAGAGAATTGTCCTGTGTGGAGACCAAGAGCCAGGTGTGGCATGAGGGACCCAGAGGGAAGTGAAGACTGAGAAGATGAAGCTTGAAACTTGTATGTCAAGGTTTCTAACAGCCCTTTGAGAACAAAGGACACACGTTAAAAATGAGCTCATGGGTATTTTCTTTTTTCTTTGTTTTTCAAGACAGCCCTGTGCAACAGCCTTGGCTGTCTGGAATTTGGTTTGTAGACCAGGCTGACCTCGAACTCACAGAGATCTGCCTACCTGTGCCCCCTGAGTGCTGAGATTAAAGGGGTATGCCATCATGCCCAGCTGGATGTTTTATTTTCATATTCTTATGCAAGAATGTTTTCCTTGATTGACTCAACAAACATTTATGAAGCAATTAGTTGGAGCTAGTTCCTATATTAGGGATGAATGTGATGTACATCTTCGTTCAAAAAGACTTTATGGAGCCCTATCAGAACCAACCACTCCTGAGGATTTGAAGGTACCCTAGTGGTCCTAAAACATAGGAGTTTGTGGACAGATTAAAAGATAGACATTGCTTGGGCATGAAGAAAAGTTACACACACACACACACACACACACACACACACACACACACACACACACTCATGAGAGTCTGACAACCAGCACACAGACCTCAAGGCCAGGCTACTTGGGCTCAATACAGCTCTGGATTTACTGAGCTTTATGGCCAAGCAAGTCACTTTACCTCCCTATTCCTTAGTCCCGTGTGACAGGAGAATTAGCACTGAGACCCCTTGCAATGGGGCCTGGCAGGCTCTGAGCATATCATGAGTTTTGACATCATATGACAAGGAATCATTGACAAGTGACTGGAGGGCTACTCAAGGGCATCCTCCCCGGGACGTTCAGGATGAAGGGATAAGACTAAAGTGATGAGATGTGGAGGAGGGTGCCGCAGTCATGCATGGCAGATGATGTCTGGGGAGGTCAGGAGCAGCAGGGATGGCATGGAGAGAAAATGCTTGGGTAGACTTAAAGAGAATAAACACTAGCAAGGGTGACTAACACACTAAGGGCAGGAGAGGTTGAGGTGTGCCTTTAGGTGGCTTCTGAGTTTCTGATTTGGGTAACTGGGTGGATGGATCATGGGATGATTCGTGGAGATGGAGAAAACAGAAAAAAAAAGAAAGTGCAAAAGTCAGGTCACTGGCCAAATCTAGGATATGGTACTTATGGGATCCAAACCAGGCCTTTATCATCATCATCATCATCATCATCATCATCATCATCATCATCATCATCGTCATCGTATATTATTTGTATAAAATAATTTCATGTAAACTTTTCATATATGTGTATTATTTTGAACATATTCACCCCTGATTTTCTTCTCTTGACCCCTCTCATGTAGGGAGCCGGTTCCTGCATTATCCATTACAATAATGGTGCCTGGACACACCAATTACTTCACAGGCGCTGTGTAATCTCCATTCCTTTGATCCCGTGGCTCATTTGGCCTGAGGAGCTGAAGCCATTCATAGGGTAACATGTCCCAGGCGGCTGCTTGCCAGCCTATTTAAGGAAAGGGATTCTTAGTGCAGGGTCTCCGCTCTGGTCTCCGCTCTAGTCTCTGCTCTGGTAAGATGCATTAAAGCTTGTCTGCAGAAGGATCCGAGTGTCCTGCGTGTATTTCTTGCCGGCCGAGAAAATACAGCGGGCGCGGGACACTCTCACCTCCCAATAGTTCCTCATTACCTCCAATATAAGCTATTTGTTACATGAAATAAACTTGTTATGCAACATTGTATATGCAATCTGTGTTCTACCTATGAGCCCCAGACTCACAGTGGTCCCCCTGCCTCTGCCCCCTAAGTGCTGGGATTAAAGGTGTGCAACACCACCCCTAGTCTGAGTCTGCCTTGTTTTATGTAATTCGATGATCTCCAGTTCCATCCATTTTCCTGCAGATGACAATAATATAATTTCATTTATCCTTAAAGCTGAATAAAACCCCATTGTGTGAATCTCCTTTCCTCCCTCTCCCTCTGTGTGTGTGGTAAATATACTTTTTGGTGTGTTTACACACGTGTGTGGAGGCATGAGGTTGACACCAGATGTCTTTCCTTGATTACTCTCCACCTTTATTTTTTGAGACCGAGTATCTCCCTGAGCTCATTGGCTCCGCTGGGCTGGATAGCCCATGAGCTTCTGTGGCCTACCTGTCTTCTGATTTCAGATCCAGAACTTTTCTCATTTGCTCCCTTTCCAGTCGCTAGATTTGTGACCCTTTCTCCAAGTGACATGGCTTGTTATACTACAGGGTGCAACATCATGAGTCGGCCAGCTCTGCTGTGTACCCAGCCTGGTGGGCAGTCCTAGCATAGGACAAATGAAGACTGATGGGTATGACAAGCAGGGTGCCAATGGTTTGGGATAGAAAGTTCTGAGGGAACTGGGAGATCATGGGAAGCAGCTGGGGACCATTTCTTTCTTTTTTCTCTTATTTATTTCTTTTTAAAGAGGAAGTTGGATCCCCTGGAACATGAGTTACAGACAGTTGTGAGCTGCCATGTGGGTGCTGGGAATTGAATTTAACCACTGAGTCATCTCTCCAGCCCCTAGGGACCATTTCTTGGACCAACGCAGCATAGTTGATACAAATCTAAGGCCAACAGCTTAGAAATGTGAGGTTCACACTTCATTCTCATTAGAAAGCTCTCGTACTCTGCTCAGGGACTACTGATCTCTGACCATTTTCTCCCAGCCTGGCTCTAAGAGAGCAACATGAAGGTTACTCTCTAAGCCTTTTGGCATAGACAGTGGATAAACAAAGTGGGGATAAGTGACTCTGGGGAAGTGGGAAGTTTACCAAAGCTTACTGGTTGGTGACTAGTAAAGGAGAAAGTCAGTGCTCACAAAGGTCTGCAGTTGAATGGGATGGCCTTTCAATGGGCATGGGTAGATTGGAGTTGTCAAGGTTGCCACAGGTGTTTCCCACATCTACTGTTTCACCTAGGATTCCTGTCAAAATGGCCCTGCCCTATGGCTCATTCCTCTTCTGGGACTACATGCTTGTCTACTCATTGGCCTGGAGATCAGAAGACAGCATACACTTCCAGTCCTCTGAAAGTGCAGCAAGCATTCTCAAATGCTGAGCCATCCCCCCAGCCAGGTTATAAAGATGTAGAACTAGCTTGCTAGTGTCATCTTCTGCATACTTGGTAAACCCAGAGTTCCATGTTTTAAAACTGTTTATAACTAATTCCTTAAATTTGCAGTCCTGGGAATTGAACCTAGGGACTCACAAATGCCAGGAAAACTCCCTGCCACTGAGCTTTATCCCTCGATCAAGGGCTCCATGTTTTGCTTGACAACTATCATCCCAGGGAACAATGGAAGTCCTGTAGGTACCATCAAAATGACCCATGTGTTTCAGTGAGCATCCACGCATCAGGGTATATTCCAGATATCAGGGACCATACTGGTCTGACATTTGAATGCAAATGATCTCTGAATAATTCCCTCTTCCTCTGGCCCCATATGTTTCAGCCATGGTTACCAGGGTCCTACCCTCCCGCCAGCAAATGCAAAGAACTCATTGAAACATGCTGTTGGCCTCCCCAACCCTGACTCAGGCTGAGTATTCTTCATAGCACTTTCTTGGGCATGGATGTTGGAAAGGACACTTCAAATCTGTCCCTGCCAGGGCCCCTACCAACTACAAGCTCTGCTTCTGTGGAGGTTTTGCCAGGTGCCAAAAACATCTCCAGGAGCAGCCAATGGAAACCACAGCCAGGACCCCTCCCTTTCTCCCCCAGTGGCACCCCAGCTTCCTGCCTCCTGTTTCTCTCTCTCTCTCTCTTGCCTGTCTGCTCGACTCAGAAGTGAGTACTCACTGGGCAGAAGCTTCAGAAGTACTGGGGGCTCCAAGACACCTCATCGTAGCATCTGCCCTGTGGTCTCTGGAGGTGCACTGCAAAGATGTCCTGGAGACAAGTCATCCTCCTGTCATCTCTCTTGGCCATGGTGCTCCTGTGTAGTGAGTATGGGAGGACGGAAGGGTGGGCTGTGTTGGCTACACAGTAAGACCTTCTATGTACAGGTCAATTTGCTCAGGTGGCATAGATAGGAAGGAGTATGTTTATTAAGGTAGCCATGCTTAGTATGTGTGTGTGTGTGTGTGTGTGTGTGTGTGTGTGTGTGTGTGTACGAGATAATATAATGGAGAAAAATAGCAAAGATAACAAATAGGAAACAAGCCAGCTCATATGGTAGGTTCTCATAAAGATTGGCTATGTGACTGGTATGTTGAAGGGCAGAGGGCCCCAAATGTAGTCTAACGAGCTACCACACCCAGAATTTTTGAAGCCCCCCTGGGGCCTCTGATGCTGCAGCCTTTCCCTCCACCTCACCCCACAGTGCTACAAGAGGGGACCAGTGCTTCTGTGGGCAGCAGACAGGCACCTGGAGAAGAGGCACAGGAAGGTGAGTTTAGGGGCATGCAGGACAGGTGGATCCTGCTCCCCCACCCCATGCTGGTTGTGAAGAAGCACTTTTCTGGTTTCAGGTATGAAACAGAAGATTTTCATGCAAGAATCTGATGCCTCCAATTTCCTCAAGAGGCGTGGCAAGCGGTCTCCCAAATCCCAAAATGAAGTCAATGGTAAGGATGCCGGATGGTCTCCCTTCCACAGTGGAATACCAAAGCCTCTGATATTAGGGTGAATAATTAGCTCTAAATGAGCAACAGTACTTTATCTGAGGCCAGTGAGATGGCCAATGGGTGAAGGTGACCCGAATTCAATCCCTGGAGCCCACATGGTAGGAGACAACTAACTCCTACGAGTTGGTGTCTGACCTTCACGTGCACGCCGTGGCATGCATGTGTCCCTAATAAATGAAATAAAAATGTAGAAATGGTATCATATTTCATTGGTCGTGGGTCACAGGTTGGATTAATGTGGCATCAAGGTAAGAATACTAAAAACTGTGCCACGTCAAGAGCCCCAAGATGTACTTATAACGTGAAAAAAACTTAGAGGGAATGTCTGCCAGGTCTGGAGGAAACAGACCACTTTAGTGTGCTTTACTAGGGCCCTAAGTGCTGAGAAGAGTAGGCTTGGTGACAGTTCTGCTGCTGAGTGGCCTCAGCCACTGCCTCCCTCTGATTCCAATTTCCTTATCTGTAGACTGAGAAAGAGGCTGAGGGCAATGTATGAAGGGAGGGGGCTGGCACTTTTGTTTGTTTGTTTGTTTGTTTGTTTTCTTTGTTCCAGTGGCCTGGAACTTGCTAGATAGTCTACTCTAGCTGGCCAGCAAACCCCTTGGATGTCTCTTCCATTCTGCTCTGGGATTACAAGTGCATGGCACAATGCCTGGTTTGTTTTCTTCAGTTTGTTTAATTTTCTGTGAAGTTCAGCGTCTCTGGGACTCTGAAGTCTCTGGTTCTTGACCCTCTGACCTAGGAGGCATTGAAGTTTCCTACCCCAAAACTGATTCTTGCAAGCCTCTGAGCTCAGACCATCCTGGCTGGGTCTGTGGCTTGATTCTTGGCTTGTGAGTGTGGCTGAATGAACTCTTTGTGTCCCTTACAGAAGCAAGGTGACTCCTTGTTCAGTAAAAACAGCAGGATTATTTTCAAATGATGGGGGAAAATGGAGGTGGAAACACTTGCAGATCATTCTTTTTTAAAAATTGGAGAAGTCTAACTGACCACAGTCAGAAAACCACCAGACCACACACAGGTTGAAATTTGAAGTAAGCCAATGTCCAGCAACACTGAAAGTCTGTGCTGGAGGTGCAGTCCTGGATTGCAATCAGAGAAGCAACTCCTGGCAGACACTGAGGGAGGAAACAGGTATGGACAGGCAATTATCTCCTGTCCTGTGAAACTGATTCAGAATAATGAAGTTCATGATTAAGCCTGAGGTCTCTCACCGTGGATGGAAGCTCAGGCAATGGAGGGAGGCCTAGCATATCCAAGTGAATACCCAGGACTTCACATCAGTGCCTCCGTATAGTCACCTCTGTGGACAGGTAGAGGAGCGTCACCTTGGAACTAACATGAACTTGCAACTGGTTTGGAATAAGAACTGGACGGATGTGTGTGTGTGTGTGTGTGTGTGTGTGTGTGTGTGTGTATGTGTGAGTGTATGAGTGTGTGTGAGTGTGCGTGAGTATGAGTGTGCGTATGCATTGGAGACCACTTCGGGAGTTGTTTCTAAGTCGTTGTGCACTTTTCTTTTTGAGGCAGAGTCTCTCAGTAGTCTGGAACTTGCTAGATAGTCAACTCTAGCTGGCCAGCACGCCCCTTGGATGTCTCTTCCATCCTGCTCTGGGATTACAAGCACATGGCACAATACCTGGTTATTTTTTAAAAACGTATACAATGTGAATGTTGGCACATCCTATAAAACACCGTTTTGGTAGATAATGAAATCCATTCTTTGTTATTGTTATATCAGACGTCCAATTTTTGGGTGGTTTCTTTTACAAAGATGCTTCTTCAGGTAGTCACTCATGTGTGCTTCCGAAAACCTGAATGCTCCTGGAGCATCTTTCTGATATCTGGAGCCATGTCAGTCTCCACTGAGTCAGAAGGGAGACACTGCCATGCAAGGTGTTCTGGGCCAGGCAGCTGTGTGGCCTCCATTAGCTCACTGCACCTCTCTGAGGCCAAGTCACCTCTTGAGGAATCTGCAGTATGTGCAGACAGACTGGACTATGGACTATTTCTGTCAGGATAAAGTTTTCTGCCACTGTAAACAAAGGCAGAACTTTGTGAAGAATCATGGGGCTTCTCTCAGAAATCTGTACTAAGGTAAAATCACTGATAACCTTGTTTTAATGAGCTAATTAGTATTCACATAAAAAAATACTTATCAACATAAGCTTCTTGCTTCCAGGAAGGATTTGAGGTTTTCTTCCTTTTTACCCTCTACTTCCTTATTTCTTTTTTTCTTCTTTCTTCCCTCAACAAAAGAAAACCAACAAAACCCCCATTCGTTGATTCATTCTGTGTTGTGTGTATCTGTGCATATGTGTGCCACAGCATGTGTGTAGACGGCAGAGGACAGTTTGTGGATGCTGATTCTCTCTTTCCACCATGTAGATTCTGGGGTTCACACTCAGATTGTCAGGCTTGTTGGTAAGCACCTTGCTGCTGTCTTCCTGCCCTCCTCTTCTCTTCTCCCTGACTCAGTATTCCCCCAGTACTAAGTATTGACTCCAAGGCCTTGTGCACGCTAGGCAAGTCTAACACTCTATACCATGGAGTGGTGATGGGTACTGTGGTTGCTTTGGCTTTTCTGCTTCTCTTTCTTTTCTTGCATATCAGTGTTGGAGGACAACGAGCACTATAGTCCAGTCTGTGATGAGAAGGGACCCACGTCTTGAGAATGTGAGGCAGTCTGAGGGGCCCATCTTCCTGAAGTGCCTATAACCCATAGGCCTCCAGTGTGCTTTCCAGTTGAAGGAAACATAAGAATCTTTACATAAAGAACTTTAAATATCATCTTCCAGAACATCACAGCTCCCAGTCTTTTATTACAGAAGCCATCATGGTTGGTAAAAACTTATTTGAGTATTATTGTTACTTTTTAATGTTGAGAATTGAACTTTAGGACTTGTATGTTCTAGGCAAGTACTCTACCATGGAGTCACACTCCCCAGCCTGCTGACACTTGATTTCACACTCTCCTTAACTCCGTAACAGGGTTGTCCCTCTTAAGAAATGCGAGGATGGAATATTTCTTATCTGCCTTCACTTTTTTTTAGTGACATTTAGGCATTTATTTTGTATGTGTATATGTATTTTGTTTGTCGAAGGTGCATACCTGCTACAGTGCACAAACAGATGTCAGAGGACAAGTAGCAGGAGTCGGTTCTCTCCTACTATATGGGTCCAAGGGATTGAATCATGTCACCAGGCTTGGTGACATGCACTTTCACCCATGGAGGTTTCTTGCCAGTACCTCATATCTACCCTTCTAATCTCAATGCTAACCCCATATCTTGGCTGAGACAGGTACTCAGAATGGATTAGAAGATATTTATCAATACAAGATTAACTTTAAAAGTTTTAGGTTTTAATTTATGTGTATGGGTGTTTTGTCTGCATGCATGTAGTATGTATATAGCATACATTCCTGGTGCCCATGGGGGCCATCATACTGGCACTGGACTCCCTGGAATTGGAGTTACCAATGGTTGTGAGCTGCCATGTGGGTCCTGAGAATCAAACCTAGGTCCTCTGGAAGAGCAGCCAGTGCTCTTCACTGCAGAGCCATCTTTCCAGCCCCAAAGTTAACTTTCAATCCAATTAATCTTTAGAGAGTTCATTTCTCATCATGGGAGTTCAAGTTTCTAAATGGCCTCGTACTTGGATCACACCACTAACTTTGTGACTAAAGCCAAGCACTTTCCCCTTTTGGGCCTTCATCTTTCTCTGCAAAATGGAGTCACTGGATGGAGTGGCCTCCCAGGCCCTTCATGTTTTAAAGTCCAGGTGAGACATAAGCCATTTCAGCAAAGCCCTTGATGACTGCTCTTCACATCAGATCCAGTTTCTCAGGCACAGTTTGGTGTCCCTCACACATGTGCCCTCCTTACTCCTTTCTCAAAAGCAACTCTGTCTTCACAGCGGAAAACAGACAGAAACTTCGGGATGATGAGCTGCGGAGAGAGTATTATGAAGAACAAAGGAATGAATTTGAGAACTTTGTGGAGGAACAGAGAGATGGTAAGAGCTCCCCAGCAGCATCCTTGGGGGAGGAGAGCATAGTGAGGATTGCCCCCATGTGTCCCTGATGTTGACTGGAGGAGGGAGGCAAGGACAGAAGATTCATTTTCAGTTCCTATCCATGGTAGATGTGAAAAGAACAAGTCACAAAAATGGCTATGCAGACTTGAAAAGTTGTGGAAGAGGACAAAGGACATATGGGGGTTGGGGACACACTGGCATGGGGACAGTGGAGATAAGGGAGTTATTGGCTGACTGTATGGAAATAACGCACTCCCCCCCCCATCTCTGTTTAGGAATCACTGTGGATCTAAGCACCCAAAACTGTGACTTAGCTCCCACAGGGTTGATGGGAAGATATCAAAGTCATGATCAAAAGCTCCTTAGAAATCAATGTACCAATTCTGAGTGCTACTTTATCCAGGAAATTGAAGATCACTTACTTACCTATTCACAACAATCAGTGTTCTCCTTTTCTTTTTTCATTTTCATGTGTGTGTGCTCATGCCTGCACATGTGAAGGCCTGTGGCTGGGGTCAGGAATCATCCTCAATCGTGCCTCCCAATCAAATCTAGAGCTTGCCAATATGGCTAGTCTCACTATCCTGCTTGCTTTGGCAAGACTGTCTCGACCTTCTGAGGCTGGGGCCACTGTGGCCACCCAGCAATCTACATGGATTTTGATGCTCTGGGCTTCACACTTGTATGTGACAAGTTCATTATCTACCAAGCAATCTCCCCAGCCTATAATAACAATCTGGTCAAGAGAACAGTCTTGACACAAAAGCACCGTTTTTCTTTTTTTGTTTGTTTTTGTTTTGTTTTGCTTTGTTTTTTCCCATATCTTGTACCTGACTTTTAATATCTATATTCCATCTTGGCTTATCCATCACCCAATAGCAACATGGATCCTGAAAGTTTTGTGTTGTTTTGTTTGTTTGTTTTTTGGCATGGGTTTCTGTGCCTTCACCCCATCTGTTGGAGGTGCCAGTTTTCTAAGCCTTCGTCCTTGTCAATAGAGTAGAAAAGATTCAGAGAGCTCAGAATCTCTGATGAGGCAATGGGCAGATCTTCTTTCTACACACAGAGCTCCTATCTGCCCTCAGGACATGTCATACCAGGTCTTGGTGGATGAGGTGTGGGTGGAGATAGGAGTTCAGGAAGGTTTTGTCTGAACCACAGCATTACCCACAGCAAACATCCATAGGGACACATAATGGAGAGAGAGGGAGAGGAAGGAGGAGAGATGGAAGAAAGGGGGAATGGGGGGAGAATGAGAATGGGAATATTTCTCTTTGGGTCTTTTCCAATTTCAAGCTTGACATGCTCACACACGGTCTCTTGGAACTTCCTGGCGCACGAGCTTAGGCACAAAGCTTTCATTCAGGTTTTGCTGGCTTTTAGTTCTCCTGGCTTATGGGCTCTGATGGGTGAGGAGGTCCTTCCTCTAAGGGCATAGTGAAAAAGACTAGCTGCTAGGGACCGAGGGCTGAACCTGTGCCCATTGCCCTGCAGGTGGCACCTAGCTAAGTCCTGCAAGCAGGTGTTGGGCTCGAATCCTAGGAAATCAAACTTTCTTGGGAACATAGTGTAAGGAACTCAGATTGTCACCTCGGGGGCAAATGCTTGTTGGTTTTGGCGAGCAGCTGAGGAGAGCCGTCTTGTTTTTCAAACCTGAGGATTTGGAATCCAAATTCCCGTCAGTGTGATTTTTACTCACACTGTTCCTAATAACACTCGACACGGTGCCATTTTAAATGTTTCAGGCCTTTGCCAGGCCTCCTGGTGCTGGTATGGAATCCCAGCACTTACTTGGTGGATTGAAGCAGGGGGGATCTCAGCTTTGAAGCCAGCATGGGTTACATAGTGAAACAGTCTCAAAAACAAACAAATGAACAAAAATAAAAATCCCCCCAAATCGATCAAAATGTATCATTTTCAAATTTTTAGCATCTGGATGGAAAAAAAACCTGTTTTCTCTTTCATGATGAGTTGGAATGTGAGGTTCAGAGGATCCTAAGACTGTGGTCCTTGAGCCCCACTGGGACAGAGAAGCACAGCAGGGCAGGGGCTGTTGGGGACTGTCACTAGCAGCTTTTGGCATTGAGCATTTGTATGATAATTTCTGCAATGTTTTCATTTTACAGTTTGAAAGAGTGAGGCTTAGAGAATGTACACAACCACACACGGTGATGTGTTGGGAGACTCCCTAGGATCCCAGCGCGGCGCCCCCCGGCCCGGCCTGGGGGTGGGAAAGGGGGGGGGGGGGGGGGGGGTGGTGTCTTCCCACTGGCCCACAAAGATGAAGGAATGAACAGGGAGGAAAAAGAGAGACCTAAGGGTCTCTCCAGAGGGAAAGGGGATAGAGAGCCAGCCTAGCTCACCACAGAATGGATTCTTGAAAGAAAGTTGAACTCATTACCACCTCACTCCACCCCCGACTTTCTATCCTGAATGACTGTCACAGTGGTCCAGCTGCCCAGACTGTTGCACACACCTGCAACTTTTTTTTTCCTGTAAAATACTTTTATTTATGTGATTTTTAAAAGGACTCTGGGTAGTGAAAAATAACAAATACTGAAAGCTATAAACCGGACGTAACAATTTGTAGTAAGATGCCCTTTTTAAATGTTATTAATTAAATTTATTTATTTATTTTACATCCCAACTGCAGTTTCCCCTCCCTCCTCTTCACCCCCCTCATCCACTCCTCCTGTTTCTATTCAGAATGGGACAGCCCCCCTCCCATGGTGTCAAAAATGCATGGCATATCAAGTTGAGGTAGGACTGAGCCCCTCGCCTTATATTAAGGCTGGTAAAGGCAACCCAGTATGAGGAATAGGTTCCTGAAAGCCAGTCAAAGTGTTAGGGACAGGTTCGGCTCTCACCACTGGGATCCCCACAAGTAGATCAAACTACACACTGTCACAATATGTAGAGGGCCCAGGTCAGTCTCATGCTGCCTGCAACTTTTTTTTCTGAGCCCCATGCCAACCTGCTTTCAGTTAGCAGTTTTGTTAAGCCACTGAAAGTTTGAGATCTCCCAGGTGAGCTGCTTCCTAAAAGGGACACATGATCAACCAGAAAAAGATGCTGAATCAGCATCCATGTCAAAGTCACCACTCCAAGAGGAGTTGCTCCACTGAGCTTGAGAAATGTCTGGAAGGCTACTCCTTACCCACCCCGCCCCCCGCCCCAGGGCTGGGCTCTATGTGTACCTGGATGTTACAGGAACCAAATACAGGAGGGGATTTCAGCACCAAGGGGAGAAAGCCTCCCTTAGGCTCACACAGAAGTGAGCTATCCTCAGCAGCCATGGTGTCTGACACTTGCGTCACCTGCCCCTTTTCCAACTAGTTTGACAACAAAATTTTATTTTTGAAGCTTAGAAGATATAGAAGGGGCCAGGTATGGTGGCACATACCTAATTCCAGCACTCAGGAAGTTGATGCAGGAGGATGGTGAATTCCAGGTCCGCCTAAGCTGCATAGGAAGATTTTATCTCAAAAAAAAAAAAAAAAAAAAAAAAGCAAAACAAAACAATTTATAGGGAGTAAGTACTCATACACCACTCCATGCTGTCAATAATTCCCATGTTTGTCCTTCAATTATTCTGTTATTTGTGTGTGCGCCCATGTGCACGTAGAGGTGAGAAGACAATTTGTGGGAGCTGGTTTTCTCATGTGGGTTTTAGGGATGGAACTCAGGTTGTTAGGGTTAAAAGCAAGCACTACTCCCAGACAAGCCATCTCACTGGTCCTCATATGTAAGTTTTCAAGGTATGGCTTATGTTCCTATGTGGCCACTATGTTACTTGTTTCATAGTGGTGTCTCGTCTGCAGTCCAGTGAGGGCAGAAGACTCTCTCCCTCATTGCTGGCAGTATAGGTAAGGCAGTTTGGGTGCCTTAGTTCCAGTTCTGCTGGAAACCAGATCTGACCTTTATCCTCTTGCCTGATCCGCAATAGAAACCTTTGTACAAATGCTCGCTGGCCCCTACCAGCTCTGATCTTGGCAGTCTCCAGGGCACACAGGAACGCTCAGCTCCATGTCCCTTCAGCAGTTGCTGTGGCTGATCAAAATCTGCAGCTGAGTTGGGTGTCCTCTAGTCTGCACAATGACCTTTGTCCTTTATCTTCAGAGCAGGAAGAAAGGACCAGGGAGGCAGTGGAGCAGTGGCGACAGTGGCATTATGATGGCCTGTACCCTTCTTACCTCTACAACCGCCATCACGTCTGACCTCGATCTGAAGCAACTGGAGAAAAGGAGCATGAGACATGTCACCCATCTCCCTCACCCACCTGTCTCTCTCCAACAGCTAGGCTCACAAGGCGAAGCTTGGGCGAAGCCCAGGCCAAAAGCTCCTGGGAAGGCACACCCCTTATTCAGATGTCTTACAATGCCTGCCTTTTGCTTCTTTGTGGGTGTTTTTTTTTTTTTTTTTTTTTTTTTTGAGGTGAGCAACCTCCTGTGTTTCTTCCCAGCATCAAATCTATATGATCCATATGATGTCCCCTTGCTTAGCCACTGGAAATGGAATTAGAACGCCCATCAGATAGGATAGTTAAGAGGATTGCAGCAAACAGATTTTAAGTTTGCTTATGGCCTATTAATAAATGTGCTGAATCAACCTTGTGTATCATCGTAAGGAAACTCCAAGGGAGCCATGTGTTAAAGAGTCATGCTGAGCACAAGCTCTGCCACTGAGCTACACCTCCCATCCTAGCTTTAAATACTGAAACACTAGACAGGCAGAATGGAGGAACCCATTCCCAGGGCCTGGTGCTCTCCTTTCAAAACTAGGAAAAGCCAGCCTGTCCCATCACAGCAAAAGCTAAATCCACTTCTAGCTCATAGTGACATGGCATAGTATGGGTAGTGCCATGGGTACACAGTCATCTCTTCCCCCATTTCTCTTTTCTATGGAGTATTTGTGTGGGCCCCTTTACCGGAAGCTTCAACAGTGGTCATGATGCAGGTTGGTCAAATTTCCACATGAGGAAGTTTCTCTGTGGGGTAACAGGTACTTAGAGAATTTTCTGTGCTTTTAAGTTTTTCCTTGAAACCAATGGTGTTCTTATGGAGTGTGGCTAGTGTCAAGGTCCCTAACTCCTTATTCAGTAAATTGGTGAAATACGGGCCCTAACTTCGACAAATTGCGGTATCAGCGATTTAAAAACATTCACAGGTTAGTCTCTATGGGGAAGGGGCCCTTGAAATACACACTATTGCTGGTGCCATCTCACCTTCCAGGCTTCACCAGATTATCAGTGTATACCCACCTGCATCATTTGTATATTCCTACCCACAATGCTTCTGTTGAGGCCTAGCCCCAACACAAAGGCTGTTCAGGAGCCTAGCTGCCATAGTTTGACTTCGGACTATCTGCAAAAGCCAGGTGTTAAAAGGTTGGCATTTGATTCTGTGCTGCTGGGAGGTGTTGGAAACTTCTACAGGTGGGCCCAGAAGGAGGTGTTCTGGGATAAACACCTCATGGGGATTGTGGGCCTCGACGCCTTTCCATTCTCTCTTGCTGCTGATCAGGAAATGAGTGCCATATGTTCCAGTCATGACAGGCCACAGGCAGAGCCACAGGGCCAGTAGACCATGGATTGAAGCTTCTAAACCAAGAAGGAACCTAACTCCTTTCTCTTTATATACTGCTTGTCTCCAACTATTTGTTATGGGAATGGAAAGCTAACAGCTGTTGCTCTACATTGCCCTCTGGACATGCTATGCATGTAAGTTAGCATGCGCTAACTCTGGGGGAAAGTGGTATAAACTAAAAGCCCGGCAGACACCTCAATATTTTATAGCTATTTTTGTTATGTTACCTGAGGATGCTGAGGTTATGTGTGTGTGTGGGGAATGAGCATCTCAATGTTAAGATAAATCTCAACAGAAAGGATTTGCTGGTTGCCTTCTATCAGCCCAGTCTCTCATCCAAACTAGAGAACACACTCGTGCTTGAGCAAAGTTCAGAGTTGTTCCTCTCTGATTTACTAGGCAAGAGACTCATAGATTCTACCTGCTTCCTGTCCCATCCCAAGGGACAGAATAAGAGCCCCAAACTGTTTTCTAATTTTAATTCCTAAGTTTGTTCTCCATGGGTGGCTCCTTTTCGTACCTGATCCACTTAGAACTTCCAGATTGGCCCACCTTCATCCATCCCTTCTAGGCCACCATACATGAAGGGTGGTGAACTGCTCTAATGGGGCTAATGTGTGGGCAGCAAGGCAAGCTTAGCCTGGTGTGAGCTCAGGTGGCTGGATTGCATGTTGTTGGGCTAATGATCCAAGGGAGGTTGGACTGTGGTTCCTTTTGGTTGGCCTGGAGCTAGATGACAACACAGGCCTTGAGAACTTTCCTCTTGGATGGGTAATTAGGAAGACGAGGTGCTTTCCAAATTGATGACAGTTGTCTCTTGGTATCTGAGAAGACTGGGTTTCAGAGTTACCGATATCTAAAGCGGCCTGTTTCTTACACAAACCGTGTATGAGTAGCATTTGCACGTAACCCGCCACCCCACCCTCTTGTATGTTCTAGTTTGTCTCTAGATTATGTAAATGTAATACAATGTAAATAGTATTATTCTCAAACTATTATTTTGAGAACAATGACAAAAATGTCTAAAGTCAGAGCAGATGTAATCTCTTTCTCCAATGTTTTTAGTCTGTGGTTGTTGAGCTGGTGAATGCAAAACCCACACACATCTGCATTACACACCCAGCTGGGTCACAGAAGAAAAGCAAAGTATTGCTCTTTCTACTTTCTAGGGAGATAGGGTCCTAATTTGGTTGACCCTGTCAATTTGACCCATTTTCATTCACACCTGGCTGGCATCTCCTTCCACATGCTGGCAGACAGGTAGACAGCAACAGCTGGTTGCCTTCTGACAGGGCCATACCACACAGCCACCAGCCTGCTGTGTCTGAGGGAAGCATTGCTGGACCAATAGATGTCCAAAAGTAAATCAGATTTGGGAGAACAGCCAGTTAAAAAAAAAAAAAGTTTAAAAAAACCCTAAACAGTCTGCCCTTGCTGCAACTTGGCATACTGGCCCTAGATAAAGAATTCTGGCAGTAAGGACTGGGAGGAATTCTTTTACCTCACTCACCCCAGTTCCCAACAAGGGGTCCATTATACTTAAGTTTTCAAATTCAGCCTAGAACTCCTTCACTAAAAGCCAAGCACTGTCATTCCCTGGTAAGGACGATGCCAAAGGTAACAGGATTAGGAATTTGAGTGACCAAATTTCATAGGCAACTAGCAACAGAGCAATTTGTACTTTTCTGGCCATGTCGAGTGTGGCTTCTGGGACAGGCTTATACACTTTCCTGTTCTTTCATCACTATCCCCTCATTCTGAAGAGGTTGAAAACAAACGTGTCAAAAATTTCTTACTAATTTCTGTTCATCAGTTTTACATGTTTTAATTACAAATACTGGGAGGTGGGGCTGAGCTGGGAGGTAGAGACCAGCAAAGCACATGCCTACCAAGTTCAAGGTCCTGGGTCCAATCCCAGCACTACCCAAAACAAACTAAGACAGTGACCAAAGAAACTGTGCTCCACGGGTGATTTTATTTACTCAGACTTCCGGGCAGGAGGCTGGTGATTTTCCGAAGCCCCATGAGTCTTGTATTTTCTGTATACTTGTCATGTGCATCCCCATTTGGTTGGGTTACTTAATTCCTAATTAATTTTCAAACAGTTGTGTTCTAATGCTTTGGTAAGAGCTTCATAATTTGGTTTGGTGAGATGGCTCAAAGAGTAAAAGTGCCTGGTGGCAAGCCTGATGACATATGAGTTCAATCCCCGAGACTCACATGGTGTCGTGACCCGGCTTGTCTCAGCTTTAACCCATGACAGCCATGAGGTTCGACCTGAGTGGGGGTGTGTGGTCCTGGAAGCTGCCAGCAACCCAACGGCGATAAAGATCAAACACAGGCATCTTGTCATCTTCAGAGAGCTCTCAGTTCCATGTTGTGGAACTAGAGTCATTTCTTTATTAGCCATCTTTTCTGGTGTTTCTTAACCATCCTCTTTGTTCTCCTCTCTCCTCTGGTCATTCGCCCCTCTCTCTTAATCTTCTGTCCTCACAAGTTAGTCTCCTCTCTCACCTCTGCCCAGGTGAGGGCCTAGTCAGATGCTTAGGCACATACAGATGCAAATAAGAGGCACATTACCCTGAGGCCATAGTAAACAATAGCCCTACCGGCATTGGGCCAGAGCTTTCGGGTGCTCCATGTTTAGTGAGACCAAAGGCTGGATCTCAAAATATTCCATAGCGGAAATACTTTGGTCCCCCACACATGGTAGAAGAGAACCAACTATTGCCAAGTTGTCCTCTGACCTCATGCACATTAGCTGTATCTATCACTTGCTACATAGTCTTTAACTCTTTTTAAATATACTTAATGAACTCACTCATTCAAAATAAAAAAATATGGCTAGTGTAGATCATTCTCTAGAACTGAGGTTCTCAACCTGTGGGTTGTGACCCTTCTGATAAACCTCAATCTCCAAAACTATTTATATTATGATTCATAACAGTAGCAAAATCAGTTATGAAGTAGCAATGAAATAATTTTATGATTGCCCGTCACCACAACACAAGGAGCTGTATTAAAGGATGGCAGCATTAGGAAGGCTGAGAACCACTGCTTTAGATCATACACAACAATCTTCAGAGTCCTTCATGATAAAAGCAAGCATTTGTATTCAGAATATAAAGAACTTTTGTAACTCAGTCCAATGCTACACACACAGTTGGCTGGTGAACAGCACACTACAAGATGCTGAACAGTATCGGTAATAAGGATTAAAACTGCAATGAGATACCATTACACACGGATCAGAATAGCTAAACTTAAAAAGACTGACAGGGAGCTGGGGAGATGGCTTAACAATGAAGAGCACTTGCTGCTCTTTCAGGAAGTGAGTGAGTTTGGTTCCCAGCACCCATATAGGGTAGCTCACAACAGCCTGTAGCTCCAGCACCAGGGGATCTGATCTGATGCCCTCTTCGGACCTCCGTGGATACTTGCACATACACAAGTACTGCACACATGCACCACACAGATACACAGGCACACACACACACACACACACACACACACACACACACACACACACACCACACACTGTGGAGCAAATGGGAAACTGAATACCCATACACTTACTAGATGGTTTAAGAGAGTACAACCACTTTAGAGTAAGGCTAGCAGTGTCTTATAAAGCTACCACTCATATATTTATGATACAACCAAGGTATTCCATTTCTAGACTTTACCTAAAAGATCCAAGACACACACACACACACACACACACACACACACACACACACACGGAAATACTTCTGAGTGGATATTAGTAGCAGCTTTAGTCACAGTCCCAAGGCAGAAATGACCCAACCAAAATGTCCAGCAACAGGTGATTAAATAAACCAACTACAGGCATACCCATACAATTGAATCTGTGGCAGTAACTACGGACACAGGCAGCAACATAGATGAAACTCACAATATCATGTCAAGTGAAAGATGCCAGACATTGGAGTGTTACATCGTGCCATTTAGCTTAAACTCTAGGAAAAGACAAACAGAAAGTGATAAAAAGTGGATTCTTTTCTACATTATTTCCTATGGGCAGAGTCTGGGTGGGGCTCTGACTGAACAGTGGCTTAAGTTCCTAGTGATTGTACTTAAAAAATTTTTAAGGTTTTCTACAAATTACTTAAATTTTAGCCAGCTGGCCTCTCATTTCTTTTTCAAATACTGGCAAATGTAGAATTTCACTTTTTGAATTCTCCACAGTTCTGGAGAGCCTCTGTGTATCCAAGCTCTACCACAGATGGTAATGCTGACTTTCATGGCAGAGTAGTTTTGATGGCTATCAGTGACATACTTAGGCAAACAGATTGGTGCTCCTGCTTTTTCAAAAACAGATTTTACTTATTCTTATTTTGCATGTAGGAGTGTTTTGCCTGCATGTACATTTAGTATATAGGCCAGAAAGTGGGGTAAGGGGGAGTTGGATTCTTTGGACCTGGAGTTAACATGTGGGTGTTGGGAGTGAATCTGGCTCCTCTGGAAGAGTACTGACTGTTCTTAACTTCTAAGCTATTGCTTTACCTCTGGTGCCCTTTAACAAATAAATGCCTTGAGACATTCTTTAACCAACTCCTGTTTACTTTGATAATGCCAGTTACCCTGCAGCTGCTGGTGTTTTAGCGTCTGTTGGGAAACATTCATTGGTTATCCAGAAGGTCCTTATTTGCTATTCTGCAAGATTTAGATAAAGTTATTTTCTAAACAGAAACATAGAAAAAACAAACAACAGCAAAAAACCATCAATGCTGGGTGGGGTGGTGGTATACACCTTTAATCCCAGTCCTTGTGAAGTAGAAGCAGGAGGATCTCTTTGAGTTCAAGGCCAGTATGGGCTACAGAGTGAGTTCCAGGACAGCTACACAGAAAAACCCTGTCTCAAAAAAATCAAAAACCAAACAAAAAGCCAAAATAAAACAAAGCAAACCATCATAAAGATACATTCAGATTACCCTCATTCTCTGTAAAGGATGCAGCCAGTTTCTTTTAAGTGCTAAGTGTTTACCCTATTCTAACTGCCTGATGATACAATATGGCACCGATAATAAATCAAGGAAAAAGAGAAACACATAGTCAATTTGTATGAAAGTATTTAATAGTTGGTAAAAGCACTAAAAAAGTAGGATTAAAAGACTAATTCCATTAATGAATATTTTCAAGTCTCATGAGTAGTTTTCTCTACCCCTCCTTACCTCTGAATATTCTGAGAAACCACACACACAATGCACAAAAATCAAAGCCTTCCTTCCAATATTCAGTATAAGTGGGAAGTGGCTTTACTGTGTTTCCAATTATTTAGAAATTTAAAATTAAGGTTTAAAAATAAAGGCATTTAGACTTGGGTCACCATGAAACTTTGTAAACATATACCCATTTTAAGGACAGCCTGCAAATGAAGACTCCAGTCATGCCCTGTTCAGATGAGAACATGTAGTAAAGGCAGCTCAAAGAGCAATCCACTGTCCAAGTTCTAGGTAGCTGTGCCACCCACTGACTTCAGGTACAAATAGCAGTTTCAAGTACCTTTTGATTTTAATTAACAAGCACTATTTTTCTTTGTTAAGTTAGAAAGCAAAGTTCAAACCCTCCTGAAAGCACAACACTCCTAAGAGGATGGTGTCTAGATCTCAAGGCAACATAGCCTGATCTCAAGAACTGTTTCCTGGGGTAAACTACAGGTTTTACCCTTCAGATTCCTGACACACATAATAAAGTATACCTGCAATCCCTGAAATTCATGGGACTCTGTCTGCACAGCAGGCTTTTGAGTCATGCTTTATAGCTTCTCAAATTGTATATCTTCTTTATCTCTATCCCAGTCCACAGCACGGTGAGCACAGCAACTTCCTTCTCTATGTCAATGAACTGAGTCACAAATTGGCAAAAAGACAAAGCTGAAATAACAGTGGAACAAAAGAATGTGGCTTCCAATGCCAGCACATCCAGACTGCAGAAGCTGCAAAGAAATTCATCACCTGGAACCTAAGTGTTGGGGTATTACATAGACACACAGCCCAGGCTTCATCTTACACACAAGGAACCAAGTGCAGTAGCTGGGAGATAGCCGTGCTGAATTTGCTCTTTTGTCTCTTGGGTGTCCATATTAACACTTGAACTTCACTGTGATTTTTAAAAAAATATGCATTCTCTGCCTCCAACAAAGAGACCCAGAATTTTTGTCCCCCTTTGGGTGGGGGGGGGGGGGGGGGATCTGTGTTGCTGCTGTAAGGCAGGCACTGAAGTGTGCACAGGAAACAACATGGCACACTGATTTCCCATGTGCATTTATTGTTAACTATGATGTTAAACCAGCACACAGAGGGAAGTGAGTAGGCAGTGTGTTCATCAAGCACTTCTTTCCCCCGGTGTCAACCAGGAAGAAGGACAACAAAGAGCTAATCCCTTGCTTTTTTCAGAGCCACAAGAAGTAAGGCCGGTCATGAGAAACCATTTGCAGAGAGGGTTATTTAAGGCTATTCAGAAACCTGGCATGCTCTTCGCCTCTCGGCAACAGGGTTTCTCCTCCGATCTTTGGACCAGTTTTCTCCTAGAAAAAGAAGAGTGCATGAATAAAAAATGATTTATTTTCCTAAGTACCAACTCAATTACAAATTAAAATGCAAGTAAGACACAGCTACAGATAACATCTAGAATGACCCCAAGGCCATGTGTTACAGTTTTGGCACCATACTGGTACTCCTGACAAACAAGCCTCCTCTGTCATTGTCTCCATCATGATTTGTTGCCTCACTACAGGTCCAGAAACCACAAGGCCATAGACTTCTTTTTTTGGTTTTTCAAGACAGGGTTTCCTTGTGTAGCTATGGAGCCTGTCCTGGAACTAGCTCTTGTAGACTGGGGTTGGTCTTGAACTCAGAGATCTGCCTGCCTCTGCCTTGTGAGTGCTGGGATTAAAGGAGTGCGCCACCACAGCCCGGCTCGGCCATAGACTATTAACCAGGCAGAAACTGAGGAACTGTGATCCAAAAAAAGTAAACCTTCTCTCTTTTAAAGCTGATTATCAGGTAATTTTTGTTACTGTAATGAAAAACAGATTTCCATACATACCTTTAGCATTCCATCCCGCTCCCATTTGTAGAGGCCACAATTACTAAAACAGGAAAAAAAAAAAAAAAAAAAAAGGCTTTATTCAGTAGTAAGGTATTAAGGGACTCCTGACCCCATGCACAAAAAGACAGTGGGGGTGAGGGTGTCACTTAGGGGAAATGTTGTCCCTTCATTCAAGGAAGAGCTATTCAAGGAAGTACTCATATTATATACCTCATCTATGGTTATGCTCTGAATCTACAAAGATTAAGTCTTCAGTGACTTGAGAAATGGCCTGTAACTCCTCTGTAATCACGAGACTTCAAAGATGAAATTTCAGGTGATGGCACAGCAGGATAATAGCCATCCCAGTGAGGGACACAATCTAGGCATTCATTTATGTTTCCTGGAGGAGAATGTTCTAGGTGAAGAAGTAACCACAGAGGAGCTGGGAAAACACCATTCTTGCAAGTGCCGTCTGCTGTACACACCGATCACCCTAGTGAACACCCATCAGCCCATCCCCACGCACACCCTTCACCTGGGGAGGCCTGACTTCTCAGGGGTCCCAGGTAACAATCCCAGCCTGGGGGTTATCAGGAGCTATAGGAAGACATGGGGTGATGATTTTCATGTTCCAGGGACCATAAAGGAAGTACCACAGAGAACCCCATGCAATTCTCATACCTGCAGTGCTTATTTGGGAGCCTGTCAAGGGAGATAGTCCTGTTTCCACAAGGGCATTTGAAAAACCTCTTCACGCCATCGTGCCAATGGAGATTATGCTGTTCGCTGATGCAGGTCTCCAGAGGCTTGAAGTGGGTGTAGGTGCACTGCATAGACCAAGACAAACCACATGTTCAGTAAGGGGGCTTTGAAGGAGGGACTACAAGGTGCTATCAGGGCCCTCCACACTCTGTCATTGCTGGGACTTGACCAACTAATCTTCAATGATGTTTTTCCTTTTTAGGTAGGATTCTATAGCCCACACACTGACCTTATACAGATGCTCATGTGGAGCCTCCTATTTCTACTTCCCAAATGCTAGGTTTGGAAGCACAGTCACCACACCAGGCTCAAGCAGATTTCTTGACTGTCTTACACCATTTTTCCTAATGTCTGTCCTATTTCCAGTTAAGCAGAAGCATATAACAACATTCATTGACCCCGAGATGTTAGGAAAGCTGAGCTTGGTGGTACCTGTCTCTATTCCCAGCATTTGAGAGGCTGAAGCTGAAGGGTTGCAAGCTCAAGGACAGCCTGGGACACAGTAAGTTTCAGGTCAGCCAGTGCTATACACTGGGTTTTTAAAATAAGACACAAAAAAAAAAAAAAAAAAAAAAAAGAAAATAAAAAAAAAATGTTTTTTGAAAAGTTTGGTCAAGTTCCCAGAGATAGCAAACTTGGAACCATCAATACATCAGGATTTGTCAGAGCTTGACATAACAGCAATAGGAACAACTTGGTCCCAGTGGCCACAAAGCAGAATCTCCACTGCACAGTTCCTAGGTCAGGCAGGGAGCCTGAACCTTGTCTATCTTGTGCTGTTTATTTTCCAGCTTAACTAAATGACATAACAAATTCATAATACCCTGTTGACTTGACCCCCTATGAAAAGGGGCCCACAGTCCAGGGCCCTGCCTTGCACGCACCGTCTTACACGTCACTACTCGGCATTTCACTTCTCTGATGCTCCTCATCTTTTCTTCCATTTGTTCTTTTTTCACCAGTGGCTCAAAATAGGATTTCTGTAGCTCCGCTTCGGCCTGATGACAAAACCCACAGGAGTAACTCAATGCTCAAAATAGTTCAATAGTGACCACAGTGAGTTAGTTCAATAACCATAAAACAGAACTAAGAGGCAGGCAAAATGTCAGAACCCTTCATAGAGGAAACCGACTACAAACCAAAGATCATAATAGGTAGAAAAAGAGACCTTAAGATAGGGAATAAAAGATAAAAAGATCTAAAGGCATTTGGTTTTTAAAACAAATCCAAATAAAATCCAGTGACATTATTAGCAATGTTAGTAAGCAGACTACTCCAACAGATCCCACAGAGGGAAGGTGCACATGACCCCACGGATGACCGCCCCATCTGCTAGGTACTGGTGTCTGCAAGTGCTCAGGGCACAAGAACATCCCAAGCAATTAGAACTATAGGTATGAGGGCAAGGAGCTGTTTTTGAAGAGCAATGACACAGCTTTGGAGTTGGGGTATCTGCACAAGGTGATGAGAGTGTGCATAGCACCTTTGGGGACACACAGGGAATTCAGTATGGAGTCGCTGAGGCTGGCTTTGTCACCCTTTCTGAGTTTCAGTCCAGTGGAAAGACTCTTTGTTAGGTACTAATCACATACAGGAGCAGGTAATTGGGAATAGTAGTACTTCCCAGGGACAGTCTGAGAATCTGTTATCTAAATGACTGCTCCCTTGACCCTAGCAGGCATCAGGATGCTACTTTTTCTGCATTTCTCATGTGACACAGGAACAGTCCTTGTTCTAACAGATATGGTGTGCTCTAGGAGACATATGTATAGGAACTGATTATAACATACAGAACAGAAGGGTTTTTTTTACACAATTTGACTACTCCAAGAACATGACTAGGCAGCTCCTGTGTGTATGAAGGACTGTACTTTAGTTCCCAGGACAACTCACTCTGGTTCTCCTGAAGCCTCAATTCTAGACTATCTCATTTACACTTAGCATATTCAAGCCTCGACCACTACATTATTTCTCCTAGGGTAAGCTATTGCCAAGCATTTAAAGAATGAAATACATATTGTCAAAAATATTTTCCTGTTCTCTCTTATATTAGTTCTTACATCATAATGATATCTCTGAAACTGTTAAGTATAGACAATTTATACTATCTATGAATCTTAATAAGGATGCTTGTTATTACAATACTTGTTATTATAAAGGAGATTGCGAGTGATGGGGCTAACTGTTGGCTGGATGCATCTGAAATGTCAATATAAAAATGTCTGAATGGGAAAAAAATTCCTCTTATATTACAGAGAAGAAAATAGCAAGTAGTAAGCAAAATTATTTCAATATAACATAGCCAAACTATATGCAAACTATTTATGATGTGGCAGTCTATTTAATAAGTACATCAGGTGTTATTCTTCACAGCAAGGACAAATGTCAAGTTAAAGTGCTACTCCAGGGTACCAAGCAGATGGCTCAGTGGGTAAGAACACCTGCTTTGCAAGCCTAACCACCTGAGCTGGATCCTTGGAACCCACATAAAAAGCTGACTGCACTAGCACATATCTGTGACCCTAGGAAGAAACAAGAGAAATGCCCAGAAGCTTGTGGGTCAGCTAGCTTTTAGCACAGAGTTGTCTTCTGATGTTCACGCGCACTCACGCACGCGCGTGCACACACATGTACAACCTATCTGAAATATTCCTGCTTCTCAAAGCATAGCCACCATATAGGTGCTTCTTCACTTGTGTAGAGAAGCAGACAGCCTGGCCAGCACCTCATTTTAACCGACACTGATCAGATCCCTTAGGCGCTTACCTCTTTCAGGATGTCTGTGTGCTTGGACTTTGCTTTTAGAATTCTCTGGAATTCCTCTGATTCTAAGTAGGCAAGTTGCTCTCTCCTTTTTTTACTGGCAGGCTCCAACTCATCTGCAGGACAACATTGGCTATTGCTGAGAGGACTGAGAGAACCAGAGTGCTACACTCATCCATTTCATTCTACTCTTCATATGCCTTCCAGGCTTTCAACCCCGACATCAGGACCCTACTTTTCACTGGCAGGGGTGACTTCAATAGTGAGCAGAAAGCTGGCCACGGGGGCCTATGGCCCCATTATTGACAAAAGTAAGGCAGGAGGATTGCCAACTTTGAAGACAACCTGGACTACATAATGAGGGTTGGTTAAAAACAAAAAACAAGTAACAAAAAATTAAGCAGAGATGTAGAGCATCCTTGACAACAACAGACTGCCCTTCACTTCTGATTACAATGACACAAAAGAACAAAGATTTGACTTAAGCCATTTTAAATGACATTTAGCAGCTCTTATGCATTAAAAGAAAAAAACAGCAAATTAAAACAAAGGACCTCCATTCCTTTAATATAAAATGCATAAAGACTCAGTGACAATCCTTTCCCCATGTGCTCATATTGTACATAACTCCACTCCAAGTTAATGTGACTATACAAGAATGACTGGATGAGCCAGGGAGGCAATACGTGATTGGAAACCTAGGCCTCAGGCCAGTGGAACAATAAAATAAGAGTATGAGTGAGTGCAACTTGGACTATTTAGAGACCAACACAATGCCAGGGCACTAGCTCTGCTTAGAACACTTTCTTTACAAACAGAATCTGTCTCTCCCACTACTGACTGTGAAGCTGCAATACCTTCAGTAGGAACGGTGTTGCTCTTCTCTGCACGCTCCTTCACGTCCAGCACATCTTGGGGGTTCATCTGTTTCCTTACAATACTGTTTGGATCTGTTTTTGCCAGAATCTGGCCTTTTGCCCTTAATTTTGCAATAGCAGCTAACTAGGAAAAAAAAAAAAAAAAGAGTTGAGATGAGACAGGCACCTGTAGCCCCACACCCTTTTGTTCTCTAACAGAAATTGGGCTGGTGAGATGGCGCCGTCAGAAAAGCTTGAAGATCTGGGTTCCATCCTGGGAACCCAGGTGGTAGGAGGAGAGAACCTCTTCCTGCAAGTTGTCCTGACCACCACATGCATGGTATGAGCACACGCAGACCAGATACATTAACAAGACCGCACACAATTACTAAAATTTGATAGAACAGACATAGGTCTATAAACAGATAGCAAAGAACTAGGTCTATAAATGATGTTTCACAGAAATAAGCACTATGAAATAGCAGAAAGTATAGTTAGGGCCCTTTTGGAAATTATTGGAAAGTCTGTCTTAATCTCAAGCCCAAAAAATCATTTAGCAACTTTTAAAATCAAAAGTTCTAACACAATACATTTCAGAGATATACACTAATTTGATACTTATATGCCGAGGAATGGTAGGAGGAAAATATCAAATGTCTTTGTTTGCTCTAACCAAACCATTATGTTTAATTTCTTTAACTAAACCATTATGTTTCCGTAAGAGTAGAAAATTATGCAAATACCAAAAACAACAAAAACAAACACAAAAGTATAGAACAGTCTGGAACCTGAGCCAAGGTGTTTCAGATAGTGTTCACTGGTGCAGTGTGCTGTGATGGCAAGCACAGTGGACAAAGTGTGCATGTGTGAGTTCAGAAGCAAGCCTATAGAAGTCTCCATCAACAGGGGCAAGGGTAACCAGGAGCAATCGGGATTCAGTTAACTTTCTGGCATTGTGTGTTCATAACCTGTCATTAGTAATAAAATTTTCATGACTCATAGCTTTAGTCAGGAGAGCTCCCTAAATACAGCTGCAGCCCTGGTTAAGAAACTAGACCATTCGCCGGGCGTTGGTGGTACGCCTTTAATCCCAGCACTCGGGAGGCAGAGGCAGGTGGATCTCTGTGAGTTCAAGGCCAGCCTGGTCTCCAGTAAAGAAAACACTCATAGATACACAGAAAAACCCTTTTTTAAAAAACCAAAAAAAAAAAAAAAAAAAAAAAAAAAGAAAGAAAGAAAGAAAAGAAACTAGACCATTCACTGTTATTTTGCAGTCTTACTTCAATATTTAGGGGTTTTTTTTTTTTTTTTTTTTTTTTGGTCTAATGCTAACGTCTCAAATCTGCCTCCTCTATACTGACAAGAAATTGCATTGAGGTAATGACTTTCACTTTCTTGGATTAGATTAATAGCATTATGTTGACACCATTATCATTGCAAATTACTTTGAATCTATTTAGGATGACTGGTAAACAGCTGCTAAGTGACCATCTTTCCTGGACATTATCATAGGGGTTCAAATTGCAATCTCTTGTCACAGAATGCAAAGCCAAGCAATGAAAACAGAAGCCAGCAGAAACAAACTAAAACAACCCTAGGGTGTTTATAGTATATGTTAGTGCTTGAGCTTGTAGAGGCCAGAAATTGACACCAGTGTCTTTCTTCCTTGATCACTCTCATCTTATACATTTCAATTCTATTTATTTGTATGTCTGAGTGCCTGTTTATCTGAATGTGCGCCCTGTGTGTACAGGTGCCCTGAAGGGCAGAGGAGGGTGTTAGATCCCCTGGAACTAGAGTTAGAGGCTGTGTGAGCTGTCTAATGTAGGTCTAGAAACCCAACCTGGGTCCTCTACAAGAGCATCCAAGTGCTCTGACCCTGACCTATCTCTCCAGCCCCATCCTCCTTATCTTTTTATATAAAATCTTACCCTGAGCCCAGAATCCACCACTTACTTGGCCAGAATGGCTGGCCAGCATGGGTTCATTGTATGGACTCCCCTCCTCCATTAGCATTATATGCAGCTACCATGCCTAGTTTTACATGAGTGCTAGGGATCCAAACTCAGGTCCTCTAGCACAGCAAGTACTTCATTGGCTGAGCTGTCTCCAGGCACCCCAGTTACCTTTTTAGCTTCTGCTGCTGCACTCAGTTTTGGTCTTGGCGGTGGTGATTCATCAAAAAAGAGAACGTCATCCCCTTCTGAGATGCCTGTACCAAGCTTAGGCATCTGTGGTGCTGTGGTTCTTTCCAACCTGGGGAACTCTGCCCCAGTTCGAGGAGACTGGGCAGCAGACTGTCGAGATGGACATGGCACTGCCGGGCTCTGGGCTTCATTTGAGCTTTGAAGGAATCTTAAAAGGAATATGAAGTAACTAAATATGGGGCTGAGTATGTGATATGTACCACATCATTTGTCTAGCATGCCCCAGGCCCTGGGCTCCATCCTACAACGAAAACCCAAAGTAAATATATACCCAAGGCTCAAAAGACTTGAAGTCTAGAACTCAAAGTGGACTGGGATACCCTAGATAAGCAAGAGAGGACATCTAACTTTTGGTAAATTATTTCCTTTCTTTGGTTAATAATTCAAATTAGCAACAAAGAACAAGAGCAGCTTTGCTCACTCTTGGCTAACTGAATATGCTGTAGCTGTTCTACACTAACTGATGACTGTTTTATCAACTGGCTTTGCAGGAGACACTGTCTACAGCACAAACCAAAAATTGCAATGTGGAGGTATCTCTGTGGTTAGCTCATGAATCTCTCTGCCTTTCAGTTTCTCCTACAGGAAGGGAATATCTTTCACAAGGGAGAAGGAGTGAGATGGTGTAATGGCATGGGGGTGAAATGATAAAATTCCTTAAAGGTATGTATGAAACTGTCAAAGAATTAAAAAAAAAAGTCCTTAACAAAAATGGCACTGCATTCTACACAGTGATTCATTTATACAGATATATTAGGAACATATTAGGAAAACAATCTAAGCCAGGTATGTGGTGGTACATGCCTAAAATTCCTACAGTTGGGAGGCAGAGCGATGAGGATTATGAGTTCAAAGTCAACCCGGGCTACATGAGACAGGGTCTTACTATATAGCACAAGGCCTTGAACAGACAATTCTGACTTAGCTTCATCAGTAGTGTTAGGAATACAGGTATGTACCACCCTGTCTGATTTAGAACCAACCTTTCGTTCTTCCAATAATGACCTAGATATAGTTTATTTAAGACAACTTCAATGTGAGAACATTCTACAAACACATGAAATACCCACTCAGCCCTGATCAATTATAGCACAGGCATAAAACTGGATGGTAAGTTTCAGGAGATGCAAAAAGCACAAGAAAAAAAATTCTTCTAGTAAACGAATTTCGTATTTTATAGTTGTTTGCAACATCCACAAGATAGTCCCTTACCTTCTTAAGAAAGATGTATAAATGTCTTTCTACAGGGTCACCCTGTTGCTTGAACTTGTAATCCTCCTGCCTCTGCCTTCAAGGGCTGGAATTACAGGCATGTGCTACCATGCCTGCCACTTTCAAAATATTGCTTTTACTTATTTATTTATGTATGGGTGCATGCATACATGCCCACCACAGTGTACATATAGGAGGTCAGAGGACAACTTGTGGGAGACGGTCCTATGCTTTTACTATGTTGGCCTGGGGATGGAACTCAGCTCGGATGGCTTGGTGGCAACCATGTTTACCTGTTGAGCCATCTTACAGCTCCATACCTTTAAAATACAAAATCTGGGGCTTTACTTCAGAACCACCCCATCCAAACTTCTTATTTTGTAGTTAAAATACTGAGGTCAAGATCAGTGTTCAGAAAGCCTCTTCACACCTTCCTTCTTCATCCTTTCCAGGGTCATACTAACTGTTCTCCTCTGTACCAGCACTCTCTAGGAGCAGTAGCATAAGTTAGAGACAGACAGCTGAGTGTCATTTAAGTTCTAACAAAAAACATAGCCAACCCAAATTGGCAGTCACATTAAAAAACCTACTAGAATATCCTGAGGATTCATGGGATGAGCTATCCAAACAGGGAGTTGAACTATTCCTCTTACCGTTTCTGTATTTCTTCTGACTTCCTCTTCCGCATTTCTAGCATCTGTTGTTTCTGTTGCTTCAAGAGGGCTGATGCAGAGATAGACTGGATGGCAGGTTTTGGGCTCCCTATTACACCTAAAACACAAGACACATACTAGGGGCTGTGGGAGAGGTCTAGGGAACATGGACACACACACCAGAATCACATACACTAACTGTACCTGAAACCTTGGTTTTGGCTAAATGCTTTAAGTTTCGGGCTCCAAATGTGGGCAGGGTCATCAATTCCCTGAACTCCTCGGAGCAAGACAAGCTCTTCTGGGGAATTCCTGAAATGTGCAAACATTAATTCTAGAGGATTCAAAATTTAAATGGCTTGATATCATGTGATATCACTTTTTAAACTCTATAGTCATCACATAGTAACTGGTTAGTGAATAAGATAGAATACTAAAAGGAAATGTAGAACTTTTAACTTACAGGTCAGACTAGTAGGACTGCAAAGGGGATCATGAATATATCAAATGCTAAGTCCCCAAGGTCTGTGGGGCTCATGGATGTGTCATTTCTGGAATATGCATGAGTAAGAGGCCATGCAAGTTCCTAGTCACTCTGAGAACCATAGACACAGGTGGACTGGCACTGTCAGACCTAGGCCTGTTTTAACAAACAGTAACTGATAAGATCAGCCAGGAAATGGACACTAATGCTGGATACTGAGAGCTTGACCAACTACATTTCACAAAGCATACGAAGCTAAGACATGGCTAAGATCAAGTTGCAGAATTTCCTTACTGCTCATCACCGAGCCTATGCCACATTGTCCACTAACCAGGCGATGAGTAGCCATTCATCACTGGAGAGTAGAAGCAAGCCTAACCATTCCCAATCCTAAATACTGCATCCACTGGAGACAGAGGATGGGTGCAGAAAAAGTTACCGAGTTTTTGTTTTGTTTCCTGGATGATTGAGTTTGTGCCCTTCACAACCAGATTGGTCAAAGTGGTTTGAACCTTCTTCTTAGGAGCAATAGCTGCTGCCCTGAAATGACAGAGGCACCAGATCAGAAAGTTACTGAACTTCAATGTTTTCACAAACAAACCATGAGGATTCATATGCATTTGTTACCAATTGGCCAAATTCCTCAAGTCTCATACAAGCAGGCTTTGCTAGCCGTAACTCAGTAACCCAGTAGTTCTGGTTTGTATACCAAAGCACAGATGGAGAACAGGCAACCTACAGATTTGCTTGAGGCCTTGCCAAAGGGCCAGAAACTTCAAAAAATGTCAGTACTGTGATACAAAAGCCTAAGAATTTGTCTTAAAATATTTAATGGCTGCTAAAGTTTAGTATTTTGTAATTATTAGAAACTGGGCAGGGTGGCATGTACAAATCCCAGCACTAGGGAGATGGAGGCAGAAGGTTCAGGAATTCAAGGGCAGGCTTGACTGTATGTTGGGTTCAAGCCAGCCTGAACTACATGAAATCCTGTCTCAAAAAAACTACAACATCGTTAGAGATGCCATTAGTACTCATCAACAGGGAATATTTAAAATAACCATATAAAAGATACTCTATAGCTACTAAAAGTGATGATTAAAGAGATACTACTAAATATACAGAAAGTGCAAAAGTCTTTGCCTAATTCAGTAAAATGAGAAACAATTTTTTGTTTGTTTGTTTTTAGATCAACCACAATTCCTTTGTACATGTTCTCATCTGACACATGCTCAGATGACATTATGGTAAGATGACAAGGCCATACATCATCTATCTGCTTTGGGGTTCCTTAGACAGTCTAGGATCCCAGTAGAGGGCCATGAACATCTGTCCCACCTCTGTGTGAGCTTCATCACACATAATAGTAACAACAAATAACAATAAAGGTAACAACTCAATGGATGTTAATGCACCTTTTTGTTTTGCTACAGGAATTCATATGCCCTAAGCTGGCCTGAAATTTTGCCACAGCTGGGCACAGAGTCCTGATCTTACTGCCTCCACCTCTTTTTTTTTTTTTCTGGTTTTTTGAGACGGGGTGGGGGGGGTGGGGGTGTTTCTCTGGGTAGCTTTGGAGCCTATCCTGGCACTTGCACTGGAGACCAGGCTGGCCCCGAACTCAGAGATCCGCCTTCCTCTGCCTCCCGAGTGCTGGGATTAAAGGTGCGCACCACCACCACCACCACCACCACCACCACCACCTGGCGATTGTTTTTTCACTTTTAAAAATAGTTTTATTTTAACTTTTTTTTTTTTTATGTGTATATGCATGTGTCTGAGTGCAGGTTTGTGCACAGTGAGTGCAGTACCCAGAGAGCTCAAGAAAAGAGCATGAGATTTCCGGAAGCTGAAGTTACAGCGGTTGCAAGCCACCTGACCTGGGTACAGGGAAGCAAATTCAGGCCCTCTACCAAACAGCATGCACTCTTAATGGTCAAGCCATCTCTCCAGACTGTTTTCTCCACTTGGGACAGGTTCTCCCTATATAGCTTAGGCTGGCCATGGATTCATGCTCTTTCTGCCTCAGTCTCTGCAGAGCTTGCACGTGTGGGCCACCACATCTGGCTAAACATAAAGTATGGGCTCTATATTCAGATCACAACATGAATCACTTCCCATTCATTCTGAACGTATGCCTCTCTCCCTGCGAATGAAAGGCCTCCTTAACTACTCTGGCTTCAGCTATGAAAAATGAAGCTCATGTACAACAGTTACAGAACAGTTCAACCACCAGCTTCTTCTTAAGAGACAAGCAAAACCCTTTCCCAAAAGCAGCCCCGAGAAATGCCTTACATGGACGCTGCAAAGGATTCAGAAGAAACCCCGCCGTAGTAGAAACCATCTTGGCACAGTCGCTCTTTCAGGCTGGTGCCTTTGCGGAACTTCTTTGGAATCCGCCCCCCAGAGAAAGTGGACTGCAGATCTGATCGCTTTGCGCTAAGCTTCTTGTACTGGGCCTGGATGTGATACTGGCAGTACTCACAATCATGCTGCAAGGACAAACACCCGGTGAGGACTCAGTCAGCAGGCTGGGGGCAGTGACGGGAAGCAGTGAGCCCATTTCTCCCAGCCTCACAACACTACGTGCAAGATGAGACCTTGTGAATTTCAGAGCTTCCGTTTGCTCATCACCACTCCAGCACCCAAAGTCTATCCGTCATGATTGATTCTTTTCATAGGCAAAAACCAGACTAACAGATTTGAGACTCACCAAATTAACAATCTGTGTACATGGCTCTCCATTCTTCTTCTTGGCTTTACAGGTTCCCAGGTCCATAGCTTCTCCCATAATTAAGACTTTTTGAGGATGATCAATAGATAAGCACACCTGTGTGAGAGAGATTACGCAAGTGCTAAAGGCCTTTATTATAAGATGGGTGAAGGGGTGTCTGCAGCTGATTCTGGGAGACATTTTTGAAGCCAAAGCTCTATGCAGTTGTAGAATGGGGAAGACTCATTCAGCTCCCGTCTCTCTAACCACTTTTCCCTTCCCTTAGTTGCTGGAATCCTGACTGTCCAGGCTGGCCAAGTGCTCAGCCTCAGACAATGGATGTAGCCTTCTGTTTTCCCAGCATTCCTTAAAGCCAACAATGGTCATATGACCAAGGCCTGGCAAATTAGAATGAAACAAGAATTGATAGGGAAACTTGATTTCCCACTAAAAAGAGACACAGGCTGGCTCACTCTCCTTCATCTTGCCACCAATGGTGGAAAGAGGCCAGAAGGGCAGTCTCTGCGTGATCTTGGCTGACTCAGCTTTCCCATTCTCTACTGCCAATTCTCAGGCAGACCTATCAAGAATACAGGCTGAGATAAGAAGGAATGTCCTTAACTGTCCTTGTTTCTTTGAGATCAGAAGGTTCAGTAGTTACTAGGTAACAAAATCCATATCAGAAAGCTTCTGAATCCCCCAGCTAGTCAGGAGCAAACTTGGCCACAGGTAATACTCCATCTACCCTGGACAGTTCTCCTGAGACTTAGAGGGACGAGCCCCCAAGAAGTACAGGCTTTTATTGATTCTTGGACCCTATCTACAATTGCTTTGCCTAACTGGATTCACACTCTGGTAGCAGAGTTTGTGTAAAACTTCCCGCCAGATCAGGGAATTCTAGCAGAAAACACCAAGCTGTTCAGAGCCCCCTACCCAGGATCAGTAACCAATGAATACTATTCCCCTTCCAGTGTGGGGAGACACAGTATTCTGCTCCAGAGATATTCAGTATAAGGCAAAACTCATTGTGGTAGTTAGAGTAAAAATTGCCCCCATGGATTCATATATCTGAACGTTAGGTACAAAGTTGGTTGAGCTATTTTGAGAAGGATTAGGAGATGTGGCTTAGTCGAAGGAGTTCTATCTCTGGAGGTGGGCTTAAGGTTTCAAAAGCCCATATCAGGCCCAGTGTCTGTCTGTCTGTCTGTCTGTCTGTCTGTCTGTCTGTCTGTCTGTCTGTCTGTCTCCTTCTAATTTACAGATCAGGATGTAAGCCCTGCTACAGGATGTAGCTACTGCTACAGTGCCATGCCTGCCATGTTCCCCACCATGACAATTGTGGACTCACCCTCTGAAATGGTAAGCAAGGCCCCAGTTAAAGATTTCTTTTATAAGTTGTCTTGAACATGGTATCTCTTCACAGTGATAAAAAGTAAACTGAGATACTCATAGAGACATGACATCACTACATCACCTATTTCTAGATTTTTTTTTTTTTTTTTAAGGGAGAAGCAGGGTCTTGCTGTGTACAGGAGAATTGCTCAAATTCACCATGTAGCGTAGACTGGCCCCAAACTGTGACCTTCCTCAAACCTGCCTCCTGAGTTCTGGGATTATAGTCAAGTGTCATAGTACTAGACTGGGCTTACAAGAAAAGTTGGGTTAGCAAGATAGTTCAGTGAATAAAAAGGCGTTTATTAAAAACTCTGATAACATGAATTCAATGTTTGGAATCCACATGGCAGAAGGTGAGAACCAATTTTTCTGATCTCCTCGTGTATGCTCTGACACCCTTGTACCCCCCTCCTGCCCACAATAAACAAACAAAGGTAGTAAATTTAAAAAATAAAATAAAGAAAAACAGTAGTTGGGTATGGTAACTTCCACCTACATTCCTAGAACTTGGGAGGCAGAGACAGGAGGCCTGCTGCTAGTTCAAGGCCAGCACTGGCTACAGAGAAACAGACACACACACACACACACACACACACACACAAGAAAACTTGTTGTGTTTTGGCTTTATGTAATTGGATCTTACCTTGTAGCCCAGATTGGCCTTGAACTAATGGCAATCCTCTGGTCTTAGCCTCTGGACTAACGGGATTACAGGTATGAACTATCATACCCATTTAAAGCCCACTATTTACTGTTTAAAAGAAATTCTATTCAAGCTTTTATGTTGTGAATGAAAATGGGGAGATGAAGATTTGCTTTGACTCTAAGCTCCAGCTAGAACTGTAAAATAGATGAAGCAAAATTCATTCAACTGCAACATACTGATCTCTTGATACAACCATGGAAATTTATGAAGGGAATCTAAGGAAAGTCGAATGGGAGAGTTCAATAAACTTGAGCTGTTGAGATGGCTCGGCTGGTAAAAGTGCTTGCTGTGCAAGACTGAAGCCCAGAGTTCAATCCCCACATAATGGTAGAAGTGATTCCATAAAGTTGTTCTTCATCTCCACACATGAGATGTGTCACACATGGGTGTTCTCTCTTAATAATAACCAAAACAGCAACAATAATGAGTTCAATAAACTCTGGGAACTGTAGCACTAATTCAAACTGATTTATAATAAGTAGCTTCACATAATATTGGTAGGCAATGAGCCAACAATTCAGACAGAATCAGGTAAAGCCCAGAAGTAGATTAACAGATGTTTCTGATAAAACACTAACTATATAAACCACCAGTCACACAATCCAAACTGAGATTCTTACCTCTTCAGAGCCTTCTTTGGGTTTCATGGGATTCGCATTGAGCAACCCTATGACAGTCCCTTGCTCTGTCTTCCAGAGATCTTTGTGTACTTCTCCAAACAAGAACAAGGACACACACCTTGTCAGGTCACGAAGATCGTTCAGTTTCCAGATGCTAAATGTTTTCCCCTGGAGTGAACAGCAATACTTTTAATCATTTTTGAATCCTGGCTTATAGTGTCTGCATTTAGAGTTCAAGCATCTTACTGTAGAAAAATATTTGAATTCACCCTAAATAAATGGCTGTCAGAGTGCTTTCAAATTCTAAGTTAATTCTTTCTTTGGGCTTTAGTATTTATTACCTGTCTCATTTGAGATTAAAGAGAAGCAAGGCAGGCCACAAAGTAACCTTAGTAGAGGGTTTAACTGTCTGGTCTAAATAGCAGAGAGGCTAGCATTTCCATCCAGTGTCACAGTTCATGATTGTGTGCCACAAATTCTCACTCCCACCCAAGTAAGATAAGCAGCAGCTATGGCATTATCATTTCTAACTGGATCACAGGACTAGATACCAGATAACTAATTATCACCAACTATGCTATTAACAGCTATTTAAGTACACACCTTGCTGGCATAATCTCAGCACCCCTAGATTGTCATTTTACAAACACAGGGGATCTCTGGGATTTGTGGACTCAGCCTTTCTGATCACTTGGCTGTCTCCACAGGAGAGAGTGTCTCAGGGACCAACAGAGGTGTCCCTTAAAACAGTGACAACTGAAATGCAGTAAGAATGAGTAGACAATAAGCCCAATTGGCTCTAAGTCAAGAGTTCTTGGCTAACAGTGCCCTTGAACACCAACACAAAGATGTGTGCTGACTAGAGTTATTTCAAAAGGACTGACAGGCAACAGATAAAGGCCAGGAGACCCCACTGTTAGCCTGAGTAGGTGCAGCTCAGGAACCAGTAAAGCAGCTTACACTGTTAGCACTCTGTGGAGTGACTTTCCTCAGTATAACCCCAAATGTCACCCAGTCCGTTTCTTCCAGGTTCTCGGTTGCCATCTTCTCCTTGATTTGAGACAGTCTGATCAGTTTTCGACCTGTCATTTTCCTGTTCATTTCTGTGGAGGATACTCGAGGTCGCCTGGGTCAAGAAGCAGGTAATTAATAGGTTATTATTCTGGTAATAGACTACCTGGCCCCTTAGCAGTTGGTAAGGGAAATATCAGGGAACAACCTCTCCAGTGTCACAAGGAACTTTTATATAATATGGATTTAGCATACATTTAATTTTATTTTTGGTTTTGGTTTCTTGGGACAGGATCTGAGTATGTAGCTCAGGCTGGCCTAGAACTCATAATCTTCCTGCCTCAGCCTGGCTAAAGTAAGCTTTTTTTTTTCTTTTCTTAAAGTAGATTAAAAAATAATTTTCAAAGTGTGGATTACTGTTCCCTGAACATTGATTTGCCTATAAAGTTTACTTTATAATCTTTTGTAATCTTACTAAAATTATAAGAAAACACTACTATTCTGGTTAAACTATCCTTTTTGCTCTGAGACTGTGTTTTATAACCCAGACTGGCCATGTGTTATGCAGGCTAGCCTTAAACTCTCAGTCCTCTTTCCTCAGCTTCCTTAATGTAGGAATTAAAAGTACAAACCATCGCTTGGTGGTGGTGGCGCACGCCTTTAGTCCCAGCACCCAGGAGGCAGAGGCAGGAGGATCTCTGTTAATTCAAGGCCAATCTGGTCTACAGAGCAAGTTCCAGGACAGGCTCTAAAGCTACACAGAGAAACCGTGTCTTGAAATACCCTTTCCCCCACAAAGTAGAAATTATTACACCTGAATTGTATATATCTATATATTTAAAAATAGTCTAGGATCCTAGCACCGCACACAATAGAATAAAACTGCATCTATATGCAGATGGGAAGTTTTATAAATAAAAGCCATATCACTGTTTTGATCTGACAATTTCTGATTAAATATCTATTATTTGTCCATTTCCTTTTTTTTTTTTATTTTTTTGTTTTGGTTTTTTGAGACAGGGTTTCTCTGTGGCGTTTGGAGGCTGTCCTGTAACTAGCTCTTGTAGACCAGGCTGGTCTCGAACTCACAGAGATCTGCCTGCCTCTGCCTCTGAGTGCTGGGATTAAAGGCGTGCGCCACCAACACCCAGCTTCATTTCCTTTTTAATAGGTAAACATTCTTTTCATTTGTTCTTGTTTTTGTAGACAGGGTCTCTTACGTAGCCCTGGCTGCCCAGGAACTGATAGGCTTGCCTTGAACTCACAGAGATCCTCCTGCCTCCCAAGCACTGAGATTAAAGGTATGCACTACCATCCTTTATTGTATAGAGTCTTTCATAAACAGCCCACACTGCACTGAGTTAAAGACAGCAGAGCTGCTGTGCTGCTAAGCTCCTCAGTCAGGAGCTGCTGCTGCTGCTTTGTGGGTTTGCTGTACGCACACTACCCTCAGAGGACCCATCTTCTGACAGGACAGATAAATGGACTCAAAGGGATAGCACAGCTACTGACCTGAGTCGTAGGCCTGAGAAGGCTTCCACGGAGACCTGGGGAACCTGTGGGGCCCGTTCCTCAGAATTCCCAGGGGTTCCTGCGCTCTGATTTCTAGTCATCCCAGTGGGTTTGTTTCCACGAACAGCTTGTGGTGGGGATGCACTTTTTGACATTGAAGAGGAGCTTTTGGCCTCTAGGAAATTGGAAATAACTTGGAGTGGTTGGGAGAGTGTACTTGTCCTTGACGATGACTCTAGGAAATTAACATAAGAAGTGGAAAGAGAATGAGTGAGAGGCATAAAGAGGCTTTTTGTCATCAACATATGGGATATTTTTTTGTTGCTGTTTTGAGATTGGGTTTCAATATGTAGTCCAGGCTGGCCTAGAACTGAGGTTCCTCCAAATGGTGGATGTGTAGGTGTGCACCAACATGCCTGGGCAATCAGATCTTGACAGAGGAGATCAAATCTCTGCAGTGTTGTCCAATAGAACTGTGTGGCAATGGTTGGATAGCTCACAAATGCTTTTAACTCCAGCTCCAAGGATTTAATATCTCTGCAGGTATCTGTACCCACACAAGGTTATTCTTCCCACAACCATCTCTTACACACCACACACACACACCAGTAGAGATTTATTTTCAACAAGGCTGAGCAGTGAGACCCAGAATCAGTAAGGTCTTGGGTACCATACCTGCATGAGTCTTTGGCATCCTAGCCACCCGCTTGGCTTTGGGTAAAGCAGGGACGTCAAGTTCTGCAGAAAAGCATGCTGACTCCTGAATTCTCCGAACCTTCTTCTCTTTAAGGGAGGGCCGAAGAGATGCACCTTCTTGATTGAAAATAAAAGGAATTAGGAGTGCTACAGTTTTGGCAGGAGCTGGATAAAAACAGTAATGCTATTGTTTCTTAGTAATAAACATGCATATTATTGCTAGAAGTAAGTCACATTACCAGGTGATTCCGGCAAACAGGCCGCACTTGGCTGTTTAATTGATGCTGCCTTTAGCTGCTCCTGTAAGGATTTCATTTGCTCTTGCAACTTCTTTAATTCATCTGTGAAAGAAAAATATACTAAGAATTATGGGGATAACAGGATAGGATCCCGGAGGCAGGAGCTGATGCAGAGGTCATGGAGGAGTGCTGCTTACTGACTTACTCCCCATGGCTTGCTCGGTCTACTTTCTTATAGAACCCAGGATCACCAGCCCAGGAATGGCAACACCCACAAGCGGCTGGTCTCTTCCCTGTGATCACTAATAAGAAAATGCCTTATAGCCTGATTTTATGGAGGCGTTTTCTCAATTAAGGTTCCCTCCTTTCAGATAACTCTAGCTTGTATCAAACTGACATAAAACTATCTAAGATAAATTCCATACTTCAAACTCAGGAATAATTGTTATATTTCCAAGAATTCCCATAGAGAAAAAAATGTTTTATCCCTAGTAATCAAGCTTCCAACACTTGGGCTAGCTATGAGCTTATCCTGCTGTCTGAGCACGGTGGTGCATACCTATAATCCCAGCACTCAGGAGGCTGAGGTGACAGCCAGGGTCAGATCCAATCTCAGAAAAACAAAAACCCAAAACAAAAAAACCAAAAGAGGAATTTGTATGGATGCCTATCACAGAAGCCAAACAATAATTTACTTCATGAATTGAAATATCATACATAACACGATAAATGCTGGGTTCTGTATTGGAAGAAACAGCTGACTACTGAATCTTGTTCTAACTTAAAAAAAACATGAAAAGGTGCCAGGACTAAGAAAAAAGGTACGTGCTTTAGAGTGGACATCAGGAATGGTCTCTTACTCAAACAAACTGTGTGGTAGCTCTGGAGCCTGGTCCCTGGCTCCCCATGAACACAAATCCTATAGTGATATACTTTGTGAGAAGTATGAACAGTGTTAGAGCTGCTTTGTGGAAGATCAGTTATAGCCTGCTGACAAGGATGTAAGAAGGACCTTGAATGCTAAAACGCTGACTTTAAATGCTCATGTATCAACTCATTCAAGTTTGCTCATGTGTCCATCTGCCCCCAACTCCTCACACTCAAGTTACAGATGCATACCACATCACTCAGCTTTTGAGTGGGCACTGTGGATTTGGACTCAGGTCCCCACGCATGCATTTTACTGACTGAAGTCATCCTTCTAACTTTTGATATTTATTTTTCAAATAAAGCCATTGGCCACCACCCTTGTACCTGCAGTTATTTTAATGAAAACTGTCAAACCTGTCATCTGCTTTCTCATGAATAAATTGGAGAAAGCAAGCAATTGGGGTACCTTGCAACTCCTGATTGGTTTTTTCTTGGCTGGGAGCAGGAACGGGAAGGACCTTGTTTTCAACTTGCAATGTAGGAAGTTCATCGTCGGTTAAATCCTCCACATCACCAAAGAGAGTGGCCAAATTTTCCTCCTGGTTTTCTGTCTTTCCCTCTTCTCCATCTTCAGCCTCTTCTGTGTAAGATTCACCGTCACCATCAGCATCAAAAAGCTCATCAAATTCATCAGGTCCGCCGTCTTCCAGAGACAAGGAGTTATTCTCTTCTGAATGGCAATGCAAGGCTGCCTCATTCTCCTCCAGCAGAGATGTCAGTAGAGACAAGTCATCTTCCTCCACTAGAGGAAATGAGAAAGTAAGTCTACCCCAGGCAGTGTCATTGACAAGCACACCTTGCTCAGCACTGACAGTGCAACAGAAATGAGCCTCCAGATTTATCACTCTGCCAGTGGTTCTGTTGGCCTTCTATCTATTTTCCTGACCCTGAGTGCTTCTTATAAGACACTGAGCTAAGGAGAGCAAGGGGGCAGGCACTGGGCTAGAACTTTTTACGGGCACTACTTTAATGAGTCACCTTCCTGCAATACCAACTTTCATGAAATTTGACCAATAAGGAATAACTGAAGAACACTTAAACATAGATGTAGACCAGACCTGACCTACTCTCTCACTTTTTAATTGTTACTTTTAAATGGGGAAAGATGTATAAATAGTCATCACCCAGAATTAGCTATCATTAACTTTTTTGTCATATTTACTTTTATTTGACCTTTAAAGATAAGTAACACTTTATTCCACTAGTGATTTCATGTGAAAGATAAAATTAACATGTAGTTATTCTTTTGTTGTTGTTTTTTGAAACAAGATCTAGCCCAGGACAGACTCAATGTTTGCTTTTACTTTTCTTGAAGAGGGCAAAGTGTAATAAACCTGAATCAAAAAGAACTACAGTTTCAGCTGGGTAGTAGTGCCGCATGCCTTTAATCCCAGCATTTAGAGGCAGAGGCAGGCAGATTGCTGAGTTTGAGGCCAGTATGGTCTACAGAGTGAATTCTAGGACTGACAGGGATACATACAGAAACCCTGTCTCAAAATATAGAAAAAGAGCCGGGTGGTGGTGGCCCATGCCTTTACTCCCAGCACTCCCAGAGGCAGGAGGATCTTTGTGAGTTTGAGGCCAGCCTGGTCTATAAAAGCTAGTTCTTCGACAGGATCCAAAACTACACAGAGAAACCCTGCCTCAAAAAAAAAAAAAAAAAAAAAAAAAAAAACAACAAACAAACAAAAAAAAAAAAAGAAAGAAAAAGAAAAAGAAAGAATGAAAAAAGAAATGCAGCTTTTGGCAATGAGCTCAACTATTTAAATGGCAAACAAGCAAACAGCAACAAAACACCCCACAATGTATTCTATTTGTTCAGGTCCCATTGGAACCAGCACAAGTTGAATCTTGCTAATCAGAGCACTATTTCTTTAGTGAGATTTTTCTTTGCACAAATCCCAAACAAGCAAATTAGAAAGAAAGGACTACAAGAATTAAGACTACTAGACTAAAACCATTTCAAAAGATTTTCACACCTAGAGTAACCTCTGAAGTCAGACCGCCCAGCTTGAACCCTTGATCTGACAGTTTGAAGGGACAAGTTACTCAGCACCCTGACTTCCTGCTATTCTGTAGAAGGAAGGACCAAATGGTAGTTCTCCATGAGCCAAAGAGGAATTAATTAAACTGGAAGGCCTTACCATCCATGCTGTTAAGAGAATAGTTGAGGTGAACAAGTGTGAAGGCGAATCAGGTAGGTGGCCCAGGAGATGAGTAATGAAGAATCTAGGCTGTGTAAAAACCAACATTAGTGTCACCCTTGAGTCTTCTCATGATGCACATCCTAGATTCTGTAGAATCTAACCTTGGAATGCATCCAGCACCCGGCATTTCTCTCAACCCCCCCTGGGTAGACTTTAGTGATTCTTAGAACTGTATTCTACTCCTTGGCTTACACTTGTGCTATAATATGCATTAGCAAGTCAAGTTATTAATTATGGTACTTTCTCTTCAGTCACTGAACAAACATTTGTAAGGACCCTATAAGGAGTCACGTTATCCACTGGGGTGTTCCCAATTGTAAGCTTCTTCAGGGTTAGGAGTAAACTGTCTTGCCTCATTCCTACCAGTCTCCTGCCCAGCTTCCCCAAATCAAACCAGTATACCCTTCTGGTCCTGACAACCAGGGCATCCTAAAAATACTGGCTCCTACCTACAAAACACCACCTACATTTTCCACTGTTCTCCAACCTCACAGCCAACACCCTAATTCAAGTCACCATTCATTTTAAGCCTGAACAACTATATCACCTTCATGTACTCGTTATTTTGTTCCCCCACAGTTGATTCCTCATACCCCAGAGTTAATTCATTCTCATTGTCTCTCTCTGAGACAGGGTCTCTCACTATGTAGCTCTGGCTGGCCTCAAATTCAGAGCTCAACTTGCCTCTGCCTCCCAAGTACTGCAACCACCCCCAGCTAATCCTCCCTCTTGTCAGTGTTATTTTGGGAAAATAAACCAGGCCATGAAATCCTTTCAATAGAAACATTCTGATGATTTCCCATTGTCCTTAGAACAAAATTCACAAAGCCCAATGAAGCAATGGGTGCTTTCTTCCTTGTTTCTATTTCCTCAGCCTTTCTGTGTTTACTCCATTCTAACTCTATCCCCACCTTCGAGAGCAGTTCCTGCTAGATTAGCTTGCTTTCAGCTTCTGGAACCATACATTGCTTCCAGGCTTCAAACACTTTGTCTAGAAAGCTCCCTTGGAGTTCTTTCCCATCTCCACTTAGCTAATTTCTGAGCCTTTCTGGTCGGCCATACCGTGCAGGTCCCTTTTAGAACCCCCTTTGCGGTAGTCACTGCACGTTTGTCCATTATTGTGTGCTTGTTATCTGGAACCTCTTTAGAGTGCAAGCCTTGGAAGGGTAGGGCAGAGACTACGTGTCTCTGTAGGAGCCCGGTATAAAGTATGCGCTCAATAGGGGTCAGGAAGAAAGGAGTTAGTGGAGCGGCGAGCATTTTAAAACGGCGATCTTTATGCAAGCATAAAATGGGCTATTTTAAAAAGACGTGAAAGCTGGGCACGTTCGGTGAAGAGGGGGTTCAGAGAAAGGGGGGGCGGATAAGAAGGTAACGGGGATGAATATGACCAAAATTGTCATATTCACATGTGCACCCATGAAATTGTCAAAGATAAACGTTAAAAAATAGAAATAAAGGGCGCTTTTCAAAAGAAACAAACTAAAACAGGCTCCTTTAAGCACAGGAGCTCTCGATCTTCCAGCCCCGGCGCCTTGCTCGCTCCAACCGAAGGTCGCCTGCTCGCCCGATCCGGATCTCGCCGCCTCTGACCCTCAGAGCTTCGCGCCTCTCTCCCTTAGACCTCAAACCCTTCGCGGACGAACAGAGTCGCTCACACGCCCAAGACCCACGATTACTCACTCAAGACTCGGTCCTCTTCCCGATCCACGCAGGAACGCGCCAAAAATTACAACTGGACTCCGCCCCACCTCTGACGCCGACGCGTTCGTCTGTGGAGGACGCTCTGATTGGCTACGCCGGAATTGTACGATGACACTGATTCTGGGAGGAGAAAACACCGCCTCTCAGTAGCGCAATCTGATTGGTGTAGGTCACCAGGCTCCATCTTTGTTATGGGCAAATAACTTCCGGTTGGTGAATCCTCAGGTTCCTGTAACTAAAAGAAAGGGTCTAGCGCCCCCTACCGTGGGGAAGTTCAAGTGCTGTTAGCTACTCCTGAGCTCCTCTGCATTAAGTGGGGGTTATGTAAGGACTAGGTAAGAAGCCTAGACTTCTACCAAAGACGGTCACTGCTGTCCTCCTAGGTTTCTCTGATGTAAGTAAGTGAACCTGTCGAAGTGTGAACCAGCTTTGCTGATCTTGTGTCAAGTTTAGACATTAGGATTTAAATACAGAGAGACGAAAGTTTGTTTTTCACTCAGTCTGACATACAGGAACTAACATCTCTTCATTTTTCGGTTCACCACCTGGAAAATAAGGGAAGGCTAGATGGTATTTTTGAACTCAGAAACCAATATTCCTAGATGAGTGCAAATTTGAGGAACTAGAATTTATGTCAGAGTTGAGAATAATTTATTAGAGCATTCTTTAGTAAACCTCAAACTTTATGTATTTATATCCTAAAAAGCTAGTACGAAAAGCAGTTTCACATACAGAATATTTAGCCTCCATAATAACAAAGACTTCCATGAACAATTTTGTTGTTGTCTGAGATAGAGTCTCTCAAAGTAGCTCTGGCCTGGAACTTTCTATGTAAATCAGGTGAGCCTTGAACTCACAGAGATCCACAGGTCTCTGCCTCTCATGTGCTGCAATTAAGAGCTGGGGTTAAGGGCATGAGTCACTGTGCTCTTTTAAGACAGTATGTAGCAGGGTCTGGGGTGTCCTGGGATTCCTCCTCTTGCTCCTTCCCCTCGCCTTTTTCCTTTTATGCTGACAACTGAATTTAGGAGTTCATGTATGCTAAGCAAGCCCTCTACCACTGAGCTATAATCGAAGCCCTGTCCTAGAATTCTTGAGACCTTTGGCCTCAGCTTCAAGAGATTACAGGCTTCAGTCACCACACCCAGTGACACAGGCTTCAGTCACCACACCCAGTGCCAAATGACACTATTTACAGACTGAATTCCTCTAATTGATTTAGATAAGACAGTATCAGTATCTCTGTCCATTGTGGTTCCGTTTGTCTTTAGGATAATTAAAAGCAGCTTCAAGATGACTAGAAAAAATCCTGCTATGTACATGGATTTTTTCTTGTACCATGAGGTATTAATGCTCAATTTATGAACTCTGTCTCATCATTATTAGAGCCTATGTTACCTGCCTAAGTTTTGGAGTAATGCCAGTGTCAAAAATTCACAGTAATGGAGAGACTGCAATAATTAGATCAACTAATTCTTTTGGGGGTTGGGGCGGGGGTTGAGACAGAGTTTCTCTGAGTAGCCTTGGCTGTCCTGGAACTCACTTTGTAGACCAGTCTGGCCTCAAACTCAGAGATCTGACTGCCTCTACCTCCCCAGTGCTGGTAGTAAAATTGTGCACCACCACCACACATCTAGACAGACCAATTCTTGTTGGTATCCTGAAGTTCCTTTCTTCCTCTTAACTTTGCAGGTTACATTTGCTTCCCACGCAATGTGAGGAACAGGATGCAACATCAATCTAAGTGCTCAAGCACAAATGGATACGGAGAACCAAGCAATCTGTATTGAAATTGGTTTAGTGGCAATTTTGAGGAAAGAGAGGAAGTGACTTTGAAAAAAATCAAGTAAATTCCTTATCCATTGAATGTGGGATATTGGGGAGAGAGAAAGGGGGTATAGGAAAGTGTCCCGACCTGCAGGACATCAACCTGGGGCAAGAGAGTCAGGGATAGGGAATGGGGACAAGAGACGCAGAAAGAACGACCACAAGACAGGATTCTGATCAAGTGGCAAACTTTACTTTTTTCTCAGGCTAGCTTATATAGTCAGGATATGGGGAGGAGCAGAATGGGTTGTTTGTGAGCCAGGTGTTGGTATAGGCAGGATATTAGGGAGCCACAAAGAGGATGTTTGGCAGGGTAAAGAGTTCATGAGTAAGAGGCCCAGGGAGGGTTGCCTAGGTGACTGAGCCTGTGGGTGGAGGACTGGGTCAGGTTGTTTCTTTTCTTGAGCTGCTGTTCTAAGGAGCTGCTATGTAAAGGTTAACTATGTGGCCTGCCAAGCATGGCCTAGGATCTCATGCCAAGCCCTGAGATTTGGCTCCCAACAGGAAAGTTGGATGGAAGCTGGCTGATTAATTTCTGACTTATGCAATGGGTGTTTGAGGTGATGCACTTTAAGTGGGGAACATGGGAAGTACATGTTTAATGGAGATGATAGAGCCTGGTTTTGGTTTCATAATGGCGTATGAATATGTTAGTCAGACTTTTCACTTCTGTGACAAAATACACGAGGCAACTTAAGGCAGGAGAGATTTTGGTTCTGTTCTTTCTAGACTGGTGCGGCACAAGGGTGTGGTTGATGAGGCAGAAATGGCGGAAGGGTGTGGTGTGGTTAAGCAGAGCTGCTCACCTCATGGCAGCCAGGAAGCAGGATAACAGGAAGGCCAAGAACAAGATTTATCATTCCTGCCCTCAGTGACCCACTTTCTCAAACTAGGCCCCATCTTCCAAAATTGCACCACATCCCAGTAGTCTATTAAAACCTGAAATCTGTTGATGAATTAATCCTCATGATCTGAAAGATCCTTTTCTGAACATTGGGTCTACTGGGGGTCCAGAACTTCAATATGGTAATCTTTTGGGGAGGACACTTCGTATATAAACTGTAACATAAGACAGAGAATGATGAAGAAAGGATGAGGAGCAGCAGCTTGCTTCTCTTCAATCCAGGGCACTGAAGAGATGATTCACTCTCTTTAGAAGAAAATCTAGGGTCCACACATCAGCTTTAAGATAGTGTAGGGTTGTTTTGTTTTTGAAAGATAGGGTCTTGCTGTGTAGCCCAAGCTGGCTTTGAACTCCTGGTAGTCCTCTTGCCTCAGCCTCCCAAGTGGTGGTATTATAAGCAGGGATGCACCATATAGTGGTTCTTAATTTTTGGGGGAGGGCTATGTTGGGGGTGCTCAGAGACCTCTTTGAGAAAATAATCGAACATTTTTTTCTAGAAGGATATATACTGTCAAGGGTTTGCATGCTCTCAGTTGTTCACACACTTTTGGGAAGCTATTCCAGATTCCTCTAAGATTAAGAGCCTTAGGTGACTGGCAGTGGTGGCGCATGCCTTTAATCCCAGCACTCGGGAGGCAGAGGCAGAGGCAGGCAGATCTCTGTGAGTTTGAGGCCAGCCTCGTCTAGAGACAGTTCCAGGGGCCTCTGGTGCATGCCAGAAAATGGGAAGAAGAACTAGTGACCAGAGCAGCCAGAGTGGCAGGACAGAGTTGGTAGGACAGCTTTCATCCTGATGCTACCAGCCTTCTTGTGGCCCTACTCTCATCCTCAAATATTGTTTGTATTTTCATGGGTTTGCTTCTTTCTGGGTACACCATTCTGTATTGTCTGTTTCATTGCCAATACTCTAGTCTTTGATTGTAGTTTTCCAGTGAGTTGAGGTTGTTTGAATGTCACATATGTGTGTCCCAAAATGAACACAACTTAATAGAAAAACAGTACCCACAGCCAGAAATTTAGTCTTTGACTTCATTATTCAATACTGTATTGGCTATTTCAGACCTTTTATAATAATACCTTCCCATTTAAAATTTAGATGTCACTTTGTTGATGTCCACAAAATAGTTTACTAGAATTTCGACTGGAATTACATTGAAACTCAATCTATAAGATTAAGTTAGAAAAACTTACATCTTGAAATTTTTATATGTATATAATATTTGTCTTTTGATCAGATTACCCTCCATGACTTTCTTTTATTCCTGCCCTTTCCTGCTGAACTATTTTCCAATTAATCCTCCAGCTATAGGCATGTCTTAATGAAACCATTGAGTTTCATTAGAGTTGTTTAAATGAGCACAGAGGGGAGTTATTTATTAATGTATGGACAACTCGCCAGTGATTACACTACTAAGGAGAACGACTTTCCTTCCTCTGGCAACCCATTCACTGTCAATAGCTCTTCCAGGATAGGTAGGATGTTGTGAGCACTTTCCTCATCCATGAAGGCATATTGATGGGAGTCCCATCTTGTGTAGGTATTGTGCAGGTATTCACACTTGCTGTGAGTTCAGGTAATGGTCAGAATATCATAACACCCCTCTTCGTGTTCTGGCTTCCCCTTGTGATAATCCCTGGGTCTTGGATTAAGTAATACAGATGTTCTGTTTAGTCTGGGTGCTTAACAGTCACTCACTATTAGTCATTTATTAAAGCAGAAGAAAAAATGAAAATAAGTGGAACTCAACTACACAAGAATAAAAGAAGTCTGTCTGGCCAAAGGAATAATCAACCAAGTTGAAAGGACCAACTATAGAATGATAGGAAATTTTTGTAAAGCAAACTGTATATATATGTGTGTGTGTGTGTGTGTGTGTGTGTGTGTGTGTGTGTGTGTGTGTACACAAGGCTAATGTCCAAAATATCAACAATCAGAAATGGAACAAAACCTAGTCATGCAGTTTAAAAGTGGGCAAAGGACTGGGGTAGACATGTCTTGAAAGACTTACAAGTGACTAATAGGTATATAGAAGGCTTAAAATAACTGATTACTGGGAAAACACAAAGCCAAATGATAGTAATATATTAGCTCATCTGATAAGATGGCCATTATCAGAAGAAAGAAAGAAAGAGAAAGAAAGAAAGAAAGAAAGAAAGAAAGAAAGAAAGAAAACAACAAATGTTAATAAGGATATGGGGCTGGTAATCTACTTGTTGTGCAAGCCTGGCACCCTGAGGGATTTGCTAACAGTGATATGATTGCTTGGCTGGATTGCTAAGAACCTCAGAGATTAGTAGCTCTTCCCTGAGTTTCCAGAGAGGAGATAGATTGGCACTGAGTGTAAGCAGCACTACCCGGTGGATGAGGACCCCAGTGGGATCAGGCATCTCTGTCTGCTTCCTGGCCTCCCATGGTGTGAGCCATCCAGTTCCACCACACCTTCCCTAGCAGGAGGGCCAAAACCTCTGAGACACTGAGCCAAAAGAAAACTGTCTTCTGTTTCAGTTTTCTGTCAGATAATTTGTCACAGCAATGAAAGTCTGATTAACACATGCAGATAAGTATGCTATTAACACATGTGGATGATAAGTATTCAGGCATAAAAATAACATGCATAAGCCAGGCATGGTGATGCATGCCTTTAATCCCAGCACTCAGGAAGGAGGCAAGCGAATCTCTGTGAGTTTGAAGCCATCTGGTCTACATAGTGAGTTCCAGGACATCCAGGGCTACACAGTGAGATCTGGTCTCAAAAAAACAAAACAAGGAAACGAAGAAAGAAACTAACATGCACAATGCTCCTATGATTTGTAGCTAACTGGTAACATGGAACGTGAGGCCTTAGAACAGATAGTAGATTAAATAAATCAGATAACACACACAGCATTTACAAATTGTTTACTAAACTGGTGATTCCCTTAAACCACACAACCTGAATATACAAATCATTGAAGTCACCGTTCTATACAGTAGATCACTACAGGTCATCCCTCCTGAGACTCTGTGCCCTTTCATCAACGTCTTCTCACCCTTTCCACACCTTCCTTCATGTGCTGCTAATCACCATTCAGCTCTCAACATCTATTTCAATTTTTTTTCAGAGTCCACATATAAGTGAGATCATGTGATATTTATGAATGGCTTATTTCACTTGACATGGTGTCCTCCAAGTTTATCTGTGTTAAGATGATAAGATTTCCTTTTTAAAAAGGCCGAATACTGCTTCATTATATATGTGTATTGCATGTTCCTTATCTAGGTGAATGGACACCTAGGTTGCATTGCATCCTAGCTACTGCAGAAAATGCTGCTATGCAGATGATCTACAGACATCTCTTCAATTGTCTTAATTTGAACTTGCCTTCATTTGCAGTCCTCTCCATTGATCAAACAAATGTGTTGGCCATAGTCTTATTAAGGCCATTTGAGTTCTCACTTCACAGTTTGGATTTATCAGACAATTATACTTGAACAAAATTATACTTGAAAACAGGATTTTCCCAGTAACTTCATTGTGAAACCATTTGGTTTCCTCCTCTATCTGGGATACTATAGAAATCTACTTTTTCCAGTATAAAGTAGTAAAGAAATTTATACTAGAAACTATAAGAAAAGAAAAAAAATCATTGGCATTTTAGAAATGTCATTAACAAACATTGTCCGGAGGGTGCAAGAGGGGAAATCAAGCCTAACAATTGTTGAACCAGTACAGTGTTGTACTGTCTTGGAGTGAGGGTAACTGTTCAGGCATGGAGAGAACTGTAACTTGGATAGTCTGTTCCCTTGTGACAAATCAACTGTTTTGATTCTATTTAAATACACATGTATGTGTATTTAATCAGAGATCTTATTGTAAACAGAAACAAAGCAAACCTCATTTTCTCTTAAATGTTTTTTGGAATTGGTACTGTTTATTTTTGTGACTTGTTTAATTCTTTCTTGCCTTTTTTTTTAATAGAAAACATGTCAAATCCCTGTTTATTGTAGGTAGCCCTAGGTGGCCATGAGTTGGTGATCTCCTGCCTCAGGCCCCCATGTGTAGAGTTGCAGGTGTGCTATGCACCACCACGCCTGTGTTCACCATTTTAGCAGGGACCTCATGTAAGCATGTGCTGGCCCTCTCTGAAAAGGACCTGCTCCAGTTTATCATGAATAAAACATCTCAGTATTAAGTTTATATTAAGCTAAATGAGCTTAATACAGAATATACGTACTACAATGTTACTGGTCACATATGAGCCACGGGGCAGACTTGCAGCAAAATTTTATTTTGTAATAACTGGTGTGTGTAAGCTTCTACTTCATCTGGGAAATAGATGTTCTATTTAAAAATTAAACTATGTGTTGTACTAGCCCATACACCTCCAGTACAAAGCAGGCTGAAGGTATTAACATAATACGGCTGTGGGAAAGCGCTCCACTCCTGAGAGACATTCCCAACGTGCACCTGGCCTGATAACAACAGAAAGCTCACAGTGCTCAGTCAGAGTACCATATGGTAACTTCCAAATAATTACACATAAAACAACAAAAACACCTGCAGGGTGAAGACTTGCCTAGAAAAACATGCCAGACATGTTACCTGGCCATTTCATTTTCCTGCCTTGCAAATGTTCTTAACAGATGTCAGTGGGTTTCTCCCATGTAATTTTGTGAGCTTGGTCACATGGTATCCCATTCTGGCTGACTGCTCTCAGTGACTCTTAGGAGTGAACGTAAAAACACTGGATCTCTTATTGGAAGGGTGGTAACTACATTCTACTTTGTGGGTTCCGTTCAATTCAGAAGATGCTCTCCTTAGGAAGGGTACATTTTCTTTCTCCTGGAATAAGGATAATGTGGCAAAAATATTTGCATGACACCAAATAAGACAGAAGTACAAGTCTTGGAGGAGAAAATCTGGCATTTACCAACAGCTTTGGGGAGGTGAACTCAAATGAACAACACTCAAATGATGCAATCCATGACATGGATCTGTAATGTGTCAATGTCCGGCAGAATTTCTCCACATTTGGGGCAAGAGTGAATCGGAATATTCTGAGGCTGCTGCTGACTCCAGCTCATGTCCTCAGCTCCTGGGAATAAACAAGAAGTGACATGTGCCATCAGTTCCATCTCAAGAGCGCTTTGGCCTGAATTTAGTAACAGATAGTTAATGTGAGATCTGTTAAACTTTCTAATTAGTTATCTGGTGGGATACAAGTGCATACTTTTGGGTCATTAGTGGAAATTATGACTATGAACACAGAGAAATATAGAAATAATAACTTATTTCAATCACATCTCAAGTTCAAGGTCTGTGAAAACATAGTTTCAGTTCTAGGTACAGGGCAATACACATTCTATTAAGAACTAAATCCACAAGAGTAAGAGATGGATGAGGATATAAACAAAAGAGCAATTAAATGAGCAGAGGAAGGTTTCATGGAAGGGCATGCCTTTCTCAGAAGCAGAGCACAATCTCCTTTATTCAGTAGATGGTGAGCCCTAAGCCAGGTGAAAGGGCAGTAGGTACAGCCTCAGGCTCAGGGTTTCAGCAGGATCAAAAGGAGGGCCCCTGGCTCTGCAGCAAGGCCTTGTTATGTGGGGTATGAAGCGCCTCTCCAGAGGCTCATGTACTGACCGTCAGATGGCAGCACTATTGTGGGGGGTGCTGTGGAATCTTTAGGAGGTGTAGCTTATCTGGAGGAAGTAGGTCACTGCATGTGTAAGTTGGGGCTCTAGGGCACCTGACCCTGTCCTCGTGTCTCTGCTTCCTGTCCACCACCCTGTGAACAGCCTCCTCCTTCCCACTGCCATGATGTTCCTCACAAAACATACTTGAAATACATCCCAACTCTAAGTAGATCTCTGATCAAAAATTTTGCCATTAATGCTGAAAAGTGCTTCTGCTCCCAGGGCATCTCTCTGATCTGACCTTTATGGGCCACAGTTTTGGCTTTTTAGAGTCTTAGACTAGTAATTGGTTCAGCACCCAAAGCATCATTTTTGGAGTATGACAAAGAAAATGACCTTTAACATATGTCTGCTTCAAAGCACATTACTTGAATTTATGATACAGAAGGCTATTACATGCCTTGTAGTAAGCAATTTTAGGGCATTTTTATTGATTTATTTGCAAAACTGAGGGTCAAACTAGGGTTTCAGCATGTTAAACAAACTCATTATCACTGGAGCAAAAAGTGTGGCAGTGTGTGTAGGGGGGGGGTACAGATGTTTGTATGCACATGTGTGTGGGTATTCTCAACTGTGAGAACACGTGTGGAGGCCACAGGTTGACTTTTGGTGCTTCTCTTTTTTATACTCCAACCTAAAGTTTTGAGACAGGTTAGCATTTTATCCCTGGTGCTGAAAGTGGCTCAGGTTGATATTTATGTCAGGTCATGTGCTATTTATCTCCTTTGCACATGCTCCATGAATTTATGTTGTTTATTGTTTGGATTTATTTTGTGATTTAGGATTTTTGTTTTTAATCAGTATATACACATCTATGTAAAATATTCATTTATAATTTTTTTATTCATGTGTTTGTATGTGTGCTGTGTGTGTGTTCAGGTGCTTGCAGAGACCAGAAGAGAGTGTCAGATCCCCTAAAGCTGTAGTATCATGCAGTTGTAAGTGGCCTGATGTGGATGCTGGGAACTGAACTTGGGTCCTCTGAAAGACCAGCAGGTTCTCTTAGCTGCTGAGTCGTCTCTCTAGCTTCTTTATCAATGCATACTAATTATTCAAAACAGTGGGTTTCACTGTGATACTTTCATAAATGCACATTAATCTTTATTTTATTTGGATTTTTTGAGAAAGACTAGTCCAGGCTGGCCTGGAGTTCTCAGTCTTCCTGTCTCTGCCTCTCAAGTATTATCATTACAGGCATAAATCACAACACTTGGATGCTAAACTTATTTTTAACTTATTTTTTTATAAACAGACTTTGCTGGGGGGCATGGGAAGGAAGGAGAACAGGCAGAGAGGAAATACAAAATAACATTTGGAGAACTGCCCCCAGATTTAATGGTTTACTATATATACTAATGTTGTTTTGTTGCTGGTGATTAAACTACAGTAGGACATAAGTCATCAGTTGTATGTGTGATGGTTAGTTTTTACTGTCATCTTGCCACAATCAAGAGTCACCTGGGAGAGTGTCTCAGGGAGGGACTGTCTAGATTAGTTTGGCCTGTGGGCGTGTCTGTGGAGATTGTCTTGATTATGTTGACTATGTGGGAAACCCACTCTGTGGAGCACCTTTCCTGGGGTAAGCATGGGGAGATACGCATGAATTAACTTTTCTCTGCACTTGACTGTGGCTGTCATGTGACTGTTTCCTGCTGCCCTCACTTCCTTGCAATGATGGATGCTGGCCTACCTAGAAATGTGAGTTGAAATAAACCCTCCCCTAAGTAGCTTCTTGTTGGGGGATGTTATAACAGCAACAGCAACAACAGCCCAACAGAATGTGAAAGGCACTTGGGATAGTCTGGTACTTAACCTTTTTTATGTCTGAAATTCATGATGACCTCTTATTGGTAGAGCATTGCCAGTAACTTTTCTTCTAGCTATGTTAGGTCTTCAGATTTATTATTTTTCCCATAATCAAGGATAATACTTCCCTTTTGATAACTTACTATAAATTACAGAACATTGTTACCCATGCAATAGCACTGCATAATAAATCTAGCACTGCACATTTCAGACCTGGACTTGTCTAGTATTTCATGAGGATCTAGGTTCAATTTCTAGCATCATAAACAAAATAAAACAAAGCAAAACCTTTCTAAGAAAATGCAAATAGAGGTTTGGGATGAGTTGAAGACAGTGATTCAGATCAGTAAATAGTACACTGGAGTGACCTGGCATTATATGGCTGGTGAGTCTGGGCTGAAATGAGAAGGTATTCTGGAGAAATAAGAGGTGCTGTATGCTGACTACCTTGATTTGGGGTCCATTCTATACAATATAATGTAGTTTTCCCTTGAAAACCTAGCTCACAGGTGACTCACCTCTTTGAAGCAGGTAAGCCTGCTGGTCAGAGTCACTGGTTCTTGCCCCGTGCCGGCTCTGCATTTCCATCAAGGATTGCCTGCTGGGATCAAAAGCAACACAACTTGTGATGTACTATAACCTTGCAACAGGTCACCATTAAGCAACCAATTGAAGTGTGAGGTGGGAAAGGAGTCAGAAAACAAGGCTGAAGTTCCCAGGAACCAGAATTGACCTGAGGATGTAGCTTAGTGGCAGAGTTTGCCTAGCATGCACCAGGTCCTGGGTTCAACTGCCAGTGCCATGAAACAAAACCATGGAGCATTCAGGACTAACTCTTTTCTCTCTCTCTCTCTCTCTCTCTCTCTCTCTCTCTCTCTCTCTCTCTCTCTCTCTCGACTGGTTTATCTGTATAATTCTTTATATGTATAGTCCTGGCTGTCCTGGAATTCAGAGATCTGCCTGCCTCTAGGAGTGTGCTATCACCACCAACTCTAACTTGATTCTTCTTTTTTTTTTAAATTTTTATTTTATGAGCATTTGTGTTTTGCCTGCAATTATGTCCTTGTGAGGGTGTTTGGTCCCCTGAAACTGAGGCTACAGACAGCTGTTACCTGACATGTAGGTACTAGGAATTGAACTGGGTCATCTGGAAGAGCAGCCAGTGCTCTTTGGTTTTTCGAGACAGGGTTTCTCTGTGTAGCTTTGGAGCCTATCCTGGCACTTCGATCTTGAGACCAGGCTGGCCTCGAACTCACAGAGATCCGCTTGCCTCTGCTTCCTGAGTGCTGGGATTAAAAGCATGCGCTACCAACGCCCGGCTGCAGCTAGTGTTCTTAACCACTGAGCCATCACTCCAGCTCCTCTAACTTGATTCTTAACTACCTCTAATGCCAGGACAGAATGTGACAAAGACACTAAGCAGGCCTTTATAAAATCAGGAAATAACAGTTTTTTGTTTTTTTGGTTTTTTTTTGAGACAAGGTTTCTCTGCGGCTTGGAGGCTGTCCTGGAATTAGCTCTTGTAGACCAGGCCGGGCTCAAACTCCCAGAGATCTGCCTGCCTCTGCCTGCCTCTGCCTCCCGAGTGCTGGGATTAAAGGCATGTGCCACCAATGCCTGGCTAAAACGCCTCATTTAAAAAAAAAAATTAAATTTTCATCAAAAAGTTCACAATCATATGATGTAAACAAAATTGCAGAACAATATCTATAATGATCATTTTGTGACTTAAACACAGAGAAAAATCAGTATCGCCCTTAAGAAACACCATGTTGGGAGCTGGAGAGATGGTTCAGCAGTTAAGAGCATTTATATTCTAACAGAGGACTGGTTTGGTTTCTAGCATCCACATAGTGGCTCCCAACTATCTGTAATGCCAATCCAGGGGATTGGACATCCTGTGACTTCTGCTGGCATCAGGCACCCATGTGGTACACACACAAACATGCAGGCAAAACACTCATACACATAAGCAAATCTTAAAAAGCTGGCTAAAAATACCACACAGGGATTTGTGTGCATATCCATATGTAATATTATAGTACAGATGGTGTGGCAACTCATCAAATTCTTGGATTTACAAAGTAAGGGAGGGGGCAGGGTACACTGAAGGATGGGAAAACAAAGAGACTTGAACTTTGGCTACAACTCCTTTTGTTCCTTTGATTTCAAAGTACTTGGGGCTGGTGAGATGGCTCAGCTCGTAAAAGACACTTAGTAACAAGCCTGAGTTCAATCCTTGGGACCCACATGGTGGAAAAAGAGAACTGACTCCTGCAAGTATGTCCCTTGATCTCCATACACAAAGGATGGCAAGGATCAATACCCTACACATAAATGAATGTAGTAAAGGCTGTTTAAAGAAAAATTAAAAAATACTTGAAGCAAATAAAAGAAACAGTTCATTTAGAATGGTACACATATCACTTGTGTTATTTTATATTCTATTTAAACATATTTTAAGACCTCTCCCAATAAGCCAGTGCTGCCTGATCTCCCAGCAGCACTCTAGAAACTGAGGCAGGAGGACAAGTTTGAGGTCAGCATGAAACACATAGCAAGCTCTAGAATAGCTGAGGTTACAGGCTAAGACTTACCTCAAAACAAACAAACAAACAAACAAGTAAAAAGTAACTTTTTAAAGTCAGAATTTGCTGAGTACTTTCTTCTAAAACAGATAAGGCCAGGTAAGACACTGGAACACAGAATGTTATTTTTACAGCTTATTTCAAAGCAGGGAAGTTGGCCAGGCTCTTACAGGCTTCTGTCAAGCTTTGCTCTGAGCTGAACTAAGTGTGAAACATGAACAGATGAGGTGTAGGGAGAGCGGTTCTTGGATGCGAATGCGGGCGCACTGAAGATGCGAATGCGGCCGCACTGAAGATGCGAATGCGGCTTCTACAGAGGACCCCTGTTATCTCTGTCCTATGTGCCACATCTCCTCTTGCTTTATCTTACCTGCCTCCATCCTCAAAGTCATTGTTCTCTTTCAGCAAAATTGCCAGTTGCAAGGCCAGCTGCTCCTTTTCTTCATGAATCTTCTCTCTTGCCGCTCTTTCAGCATGGAAATCTGAACAGTACACCTCCATCTGTTAGAGGAAAAGGTAAGTTAGTTACCATGGAGATGAGCATGGATTCAGGATGATCTGACCTTGTCCTGTCTGAGGTCAGGGTCAGTCCTGCACATGTAGACAGGATTTGAAATTACAGAAATTTTTGCTGCCAACTATTGTACTAAAACATGGCTTTCCAATGCCATTAAATGATAGATACAAGTCATGTGTATGTGTATGCTTTTAACAATGGGAACCACCAAACTGAACTGACACAAATGGCTTAAGGAATGCATGCATCATTAATTCAGTAAAATATTCTTTTAAAAATAGTATTCAGGAATAACAGACAGTAAATTGTTTATCAGAATGTTAAGTCTTAAAAAATGCACATTATTTGTTGAATTCCAGACTTGCGTGAGGTCTTATGTTGGCTGCTTATTTCATGTCATCAAAAGTCCTCAGAATAGCACTTGGGAGATGGAGACAGGAGAATCATAGGTCTGTTCAGGTCTACGTTGCAAGTCCTGGGCTATACACCAAGACCCTGTCTTTAAAAAAGTTCTGGAGATAAGAACTTGTCATTATTTCTTCAAGTATGCTTAATACTCCTCAGTCTTAGGAGAACCTTGCTGAGTATGGTAGCACAAGGCTGTGCTCCAGAAGCTGAGGCAAGAGGATGCTGAGTTCTAGCCTAGCCTGGGCTACATGGCAAGACTATCTCAAAAAAGAAATTTGTTTAGTTACCAGTATTTGAACCTAGATAGAAGTCTTATTTTCCCTGAACTCCTCTGCATATGGGGTCACCAGCCTCTACTATGGCTCCAGTGATTTTCATGGCCAGGTATTGAAATTCTTCTGTGGTCTACTCCCACAACAGGGCTGGCCTGTGTAACTTAGGATGCTACAGAAGGAGTGGTTGGTGGATTTTGACCCGAGGTCATAAAGATACTGTGGCTCGTGTCATGCTGTCTTCTGGATCATATGCTGTGGGGGAGGCCAGCTACCATGCAATAAGCAAGCCTCTGGGGAGGCCCACACAAGGAGGCTTCCTCACAGCCATGTGACTGAGTCATCTTGAAATGACTTGCCAAGTTCATTTTTAGTGCAGCCTCATAGGAGACTCTGAGTTAGACCTCCTTCCTCCCTTGCTGGACTGCTCCTGGACTTTCACCTATAGAGTCTGTACACAAGATAACAAATGTTTGCTTCTGTTTTTAGCTGCTGTACTTTGGGGATAATTTGCCACATAGAAAAGTAGATAAGAATACATTATGGCAGTGATTTCCCATTATTCTCAAATTATAACATGAAACAAACAATTTCATAGTGAATGGAGGTGATCTGAATACTGTTTTAATAGCAGTTTTTAATCTTCTTTTGCATTCCTTTGTTTTGCTGTATTTTTGAGACAACATCTCTTAACCACCGAGCCATCTTTCCAGCCCCAAGAGACAACATCTCATTAGGTAGCCCTGGGTGGCTTGGAACTCAATATGCAGATAAGGTTCACTTCAAACTTGTAGTCATGTGTTTGTATCATATGACCTTCTGCTTTCTGAGTGCTAAGATTGCAAGCATGCACCATTGTACCTGGTACCAAGTTTTCTTTCCTTTTTTTTTTAAAGATTATTATTTGTGTGTGTGTGTGTGTGTGTATGCACGCGTGTGTGCATGTGCGTGTGTTCATGTGTTTATATGTGTGCACATATACATGTGTGCAGTACCTTATAGAGGCCAGAAAAAGGTGTTGTGTTCCTTCAGCTGGAGTTGCAAGGGGTTGTGAGCTGCCTGACATGGGTCCTGGGGGATAAAATTGGGTCTCCTGCAGGAGTCGTACATGCTAAGCACCTCTCAAAACTCTAGTTACCAATGGTATGTAATCTATGTAATGAAGGGATCGTTTTAGGAGGCTTCCCTCACATATTATGGCATGAGTAAATGATCATGTGTGATACTCACTTCTATGACTTTCTAGCCTACAGTCAGTAAAAGTGGAGTCTCTGTGTTGTCCTTTCCTGTACCAGCACTGAGAGTATTACCTACCTTCTGATCCGCATAAAGGATAGGTGCGGAATGAACAAGAGCACCTACCAAAACAAGTGCCTGGGCACAGCCGGGACACAAACACATGGCCCCATAGTGTGGGTTACTCGAGGCTTTGGGAAGCAGGCTCTTGTGGTGTTCCTGTGGCAATGAAATTAAAACCACAGGCACAAACTCTACCCTGGGGTTTGGCCACAGTGGACACCTGGTGGTAATGAACACTCAGGTAGCATAGCAAACTGCTGGCATCATTTCGAAGTAAATAATGAAAGGGTGTAAAGACCTTGGGGGCTCTCCTGGGAGAATTCTGGTTATGTATTTTTTGTGAGACAAATTGGAAATTGGTAGTGCTTATTTAACTTTAAAATAAGCAGTGTGTTTAATGATGTAACCCCCCCCCCCCCCCCCCCCCCTGCGCGCGGGGGGGAGTGTGTGGGTGTGTGTGTGTGTGTGTGTGTGTGTGTGTGTGTGTGTGTGTGTATGGGTGCACACGCGAGTGCATTGGTGAATGGGTGCATATGTGTGCATGTACATGACATGTTCATATACCTTGTTTTTTGAGACAGTACTCCTCACTGGCCTGGAACTTCCCAAGCGTGCTAGACTCATTGGCCAGGGAACCCCAGGCATTGGGATCACAAGTACAAGCCACTACACCCAGTTTTTGTTTTTAAAACTGTGTTCAGTATTTTTATTTAATAGCAAATCCTAAGAAAGAGACCATTATGAAGGTAGCCATGGTAGCACAGGCCTGCAATCTCTGGATTTGGAAAGTAGAGGAATAAAGATCAAGAGTTCAAGGTCATCCTTGGCTACATAGCAAATTTAGGCAGCCTGGGTTACAAGAGGCCTTGTCTCAAAAACAAAACTACTACTCTCCCCCAAAACATCACTTATAAACTGTATAAAATACAAAATATTTAGAAATAAGTCTTATGAAAGAGGAGAAGAAACTACTAAAAAAGAGACCAGCCTGGGCTATATGACACCTTGCCTCCAAAATACTCACCCAGGCCAGGTATGATGGCCCACTTCTTTAGTCTTCAATACTGGTACCTGTGAGTCTAAGGCTGGTCTTGAACTCTTGATACCCTTACCTTCCAAGTGATGAAATTTCAGGCATGCACAACCATGATTTAAAATTAAAACAAGCCGGGCATTGGTGGCACATGCCTTTAATCCCAGCACTCAGGAGGCAGAGGCAGGTAGATCTCTGTGAGTTTGAGGCCAGCCTGGTCTCCAGAGCGAGTGCCAGGATAGGCTCCAAAGCTACCAGAGAAATCTTCTCTCGATAAACCAAAAAAAAAAAAAAAAATTAAAATTAAAACAAAAAACCCAAAATACCATTGGGTAGGCATGGTGATAAATGCTTTTAATCCTAGCACTTGGGAAGCAGCGGCAGGCAGATCTCTGTAATTTCAAGGCCAGCCTGGTCAACATAGTTAAGTTCCAGACCATGTATCAATGAAGCAAAACAAAACAGGATGACAAAAACACTGGCAGAAAGAACATAAAAAAAAGCACTGTATATATTAAGCACCACCACTGTCACACTGGAAATCTGACCAAGGTTGACCTCACTCAGCTCATGTTCTAGACCATGTCTCACCTGAGCCCTGAGGACAGCCATGGTTTCCAGGTTCTCCTCTTGCTTAGCAATGATCTGCTTCATCTGGTCCATCTGAAGCTGCTTGGATGCCAGAGCCCGCTCTGCCAGCTCCAGCTTTTCATGGAGCTCTTGCAGCATCATCTTGTCCACCTTTTCTGCCTGAGGGAAAAACAAAACAAAACACAACTTCATTCAAGAGATGGCTTTGAAATGATGCAGCCTACTTTAGGAAAATAAAAAGGTTTACACTTAAAAACTGTCAGCTCCAGTCTATTACTTAGTGGTGACAATTCATTTGGGAAGTTGTAATCATTTGTGACTTGCAAATAATCACTTGCTCGTTGAAAACAATGTCCTAAAAGGTAGCCCTGAATGTAGTAGCACTCTTCATACTATGTGAGTTCAGTTCTTTAGCACACATCAAAACACTAAATGTGTAACTGTCAAATGCACAATAATCACAAGCCCTACTCTGATGGGCTTGCCAGGCATGGATTCTGTTATTTATCTTGTTACATGTTTATGTTTGCTGGGCCCCATGGCTCATACTTTTAATCCCAACACTCAGGAGGCAGGGGCTTGTGAAACTCTTTGAATTCAAGGCCAGCCTTGTCTAGATATTGAGTTCTAGGCTAGCCAAGGCTATATAGAGACTCATTCTCTAAATAAATAAATGTGAGGGTTTTTTTTAAAAGCTATTAGGTTATAATAATCTTTTTGTTTGTTTGTTTTTCGAAACAGGATTTCTTCTGTGTAACAGCCCTGGCTGTCCTGGAACTCCCTTTGTAGATCAGGCTGGTCTCAAATTCAGGGATCTGCCTGTCACTGTCTCCTGAGAGCTGGGATTAAAGGTGTGTATCACCATGCCTAGCTCTTTTATTTGGTTAATGAAATAAAAAAGGCTGGAAGATTATCCAGTCCATTAAGTGCCTGCTGTGAGTATGAGGGCCTGAATCCAGATCCTCAGCACCATGTAAAGCCAGATATATGTGATGGTGATCTTGTCTGCACCCCTAGTGCTGGGAACCCAGAGACAGGAGGATCCCCAGCTTGTTGGCCAGCCAGCCTAGCCAATTGGTGAGCTTCTGGTTCAATAAGAGAGACACTCAAAAACGAAGGTGGACTGTCTCAAAAAATAGCAAACATCATCCTCTGGCCTCTACATGTACACACTAGTATGCATGTGGGGGCACACACACACACACACACACACACACACACAGAGAGAGAGAGAGAGAGAGAGAGAGAGAGAGAGAGAGAGAGAGAGAAGAAAGGAAACCTGGGCTTATGTAGAGGCCTGTAATCTTAGCTACTCAGAAGACTGAGGCAGTAGGATTGCAAGTTCAAGGTCTGCTCAGGTAACTCTGAGACCCTGTAAGAGGTGAAGGATGGAGGATGAGGATGTAGCTCAGTAGTAGAACATTTGTCTAGCATGCAGGAGGCCCTAGGTTTAATCCCCACTGTAGGAATGAAGGAGGGAGAAAAGAAGGGAATGAGGGCAAATAATGTTTTTTATAAGGATATGAATTGAAAGACTTAATTCAAAGATTCCATGGTCTATAATTTTTTTATCATGCTGGGCATTGTTACTAATTTAAATTAAATGCTGTAAATCCAGGGTTCCAAGTTCACTGCCAGCAGGCAAGATGCCCTTGCATAATTTCATTCAGCAGATGGCCATCGCCAGCTGTCTCCCTGTACATTGTTCACATAGGAGCCCAGGCTCTCAGCTCTCCTTCAAACATACCCTGAGAAACAGGAAAGGCCCATGGCCTGCCTGGTAGACATCAGCACCATCTCCATACACAAGGCACGTTCTATCTAGGCACAGCATGAAAATACCTGTTTTTTGGTTAGTTCCTCAATTGTTTTCAGTGCACTATTATGTTCTTGAAGAAGCTTGATGTGTGTTGACTGCAGAGTGGCTAACCTGGATCTATTAAAATATGATATTAAAGATGAAATCATTAAGGAAATATCAACAGAAACTCGTCTTCTTATTTCCCTAACAGCCTTTGAAAATTAAAGTAGAAAAATCTCTGCTTTTACCATCCTATCAACTTTTAATTGTCAGCTTGACACAACCTAGAATCACCTGAGAAGGAAGTCTCAGTGAGGGACTGTTTGGATCAGGCTGGCTCATGAACACGTCTATGGGGATTGTCTTAGTGGCCTTAATCCATGTGGATGACCCATCTTAAAAGCAGGCGGTGCTTGCCATTCCCCAGTTTAGGGCACTGGATTATATAAAAGTAGAAAAAGCCAGCTGAGAACTAAGTGTTCATTTCTCTGCTCTTGACTGTGCATGTGATGTGACTAGCTGCTTCAAGCCCACACAACCTTGACCTCCCTCCAATAAGAGGCAGGAATGTGGAAATGCAAACCAAGATAAACTCTTTGGTCCACAAAGTTGCTTCTGTTGGGATATTCTATCACAGCAATGGAAACGAAACTGGAACTACCACATGTCAGCCTTTTTCTTACCCTCAAAAAAAATGATATCTTCCAAAAGACTGTCTTTCCCTCCAAAGATAGAAACAAATAATTTTCATATTTTGTTACAATAAAACTCAAAAATTTAATATCCCCAAAGAGTCACCTAGAACTCTTCCAAACGTCAAAACAGATTTTATGACATGGTTCTCAAGTTCTACTTCCAGTCTGTATTTGGACAGCTGTCCTTCCCATTGTGGGCAAGCAACATCTCATGCAGCACACTCACTTTTCATCCTCTGTCTTAGCTTGTTCCATCTTGATTTCAGAGCGCATGCTCTCCACCTGCAGCTCTAACTTCTTGTTGCTGTAAACAAGCTCTTGCTTCTCACTCAGTTCTGATGGGGTGGCAGAGTTCTTCCTTTCCAGAGCCTGGCACCTGAAAAAGATGAGTATTTCATGAGGAGAAACAGTGCTTTGTCACTCTTGTGACTTCTGTACAAATCCCCAAAGGACTTAAAATACATAGTGTGTTAGGTCTACAGGATTTATGAAGGCAAAAAATAAAATACGTTGTTCTCTTTGCTTCCTATTTGCTTTTTGTTTTGTTTCCTTCTTCCTTGCTTCTTAATGAGACATGGTGATATTGTAAATCCCAATCAAATGGTAGCTGGCTAAGGAGCATCTCATAGTGAAATCCCTAGGTACCTTTCAGAGTTAAAAAAGTCAGTCTGTCCAAAGACTTGGATTTCTGACAAGGATTTGGCATGAGAAAAGGAAAGCCTCTGAGCTTCCCTTAGAGACCAGAAAGAGAACTTGAATGGAATTAATAGTAAAAGCCAAATAAATGATAGCTATGTGCAGGGTGTTAATGCCAAGCATACTACATATCTCCCATCTCAACACTGTATGTATATCGTATGAAGTTTGACAAAACTGAGGCTCAGGGTGGTTAAACTGCTTGCCCATTGTGACATCAGCTTAGTTTAACTTGGTTTGCTAGCTTTGGCTAATGCCTTTTTAAACACTTTTATTTCTTGTTTGTTTTGTGTGTGTGTGTGTGTCGGGGTGTGCATGCAGAAGTCAGGACAGTTTGGGGGAATCAGTTCTGTCCTTCCATTATGTGGGTCCTGGGGATGGAACTATGGAACTCAGGTTGTCAGCTTGGTAGCAAGTGTCTGCCCACCGAGTTATTTCACTAGCCCCTCCCCTCCCCCTTTTACTCTATTTTTGATACAGTAACATACTTCATAAACCATGCAATAAGATTAACTGAGTTATTACTTTTCTTGAAGTCTCTTCTTCATTAGCTCAGCCTCACTGAGTTTCGTGTGTGCCTCTTGAAGTTCCTTATACAGAGCTGTCACTCCAACTTTCAATGTTTCCACTTCGCTTCCAACCTATCACATAGACAATGCCAGACATTCATAAGATAGCCATCAGAAGCTGGGCATTGGTGGTGCATTCCTTTAATCCCAGCACTCGGGAGGCAGAGACAGGCAGATCTCTGTGAGTTTGAGGCCAGCCTGGTCTCCAGAGTGACTGCCAGGATAGGCTCCAAAGCTACACAGAGAAGCCCTGTCTCGAAAAAACAAAAAACAAAACAAAACAAAAAGATAACCATCAGAGAGGAAGTGAACTTTGTGTGAGAAAACAGTCTGTACCACCACTATCATCCAGCTATCACTGATACCCCAAGCAGATTTAATTTGGGCAAGACCTCCCCAAGTGCCTTGTGGGAAAAGCAGGTTTCTATTTCCTTATAGAGCATTAACTATCAGTCTGAACATAGATAATAGATTTACTATTAATCCCTGGCCTACTCATGCTTCAGGGATCACAGGTCACATGAAGTGTCAAAGTGTAATCTTATCCATCTGGGGAGAAACTCGGACCCTACTGCCTTGCCAACTTCTGCTTCTAGTCCATGCAATTATTTCTGTTATACAGCTCTTTTCCTGGAAGGCTGCCAGTTGCCAATTTGTATATGAGTTTCAATGACAGCTTAGAAATGTCAAAACTTTCCCATAACTATTGGTTCATTTCAGTTAATGGTGTGCTGTTCGGCAGAAGTACTCTCTTCATCTAAGTTCACTGTGTTCCCTTCTCCACCTGCCCACCCCCCATTTTACTTTTGTAGCCATGCTGGTTTGAAACTTGCTATGTAGTATAAGCTGTCCTCAAACTCAAAATCCACCTGCCTCAGCCTGCCAGGCACTGGAATTATATGGGTGTGCACTGCCGTACCTGTCTTTGAAATGTTCTCCATTGCCTTAAAGCAGAGACTCAGAGACACACAAGGTGGTACACATCTCTAATTCCAGCACACCTGAGGCAAGAGCGACAAGGGTTTCTCTCCTGTATGTCAGAGCTTAGTGTATGCTGAATAATAAGATGCTGTCATCACTCCTGCCTCCTGGGGGGAAGGAAGGAAGGAAGGAAGGAAGGAAGGAAGGAAGGAAGGAAGGAAGGAAGGAAGGAAGGAAGGAAGGAGCAGGTAGCGGTGTGTGTGTGTGTGTGTGTGTGTGTGTGTGTGTGTGTGTATGCTGATGAATAAACTAAACAAAAGGATCACTTTATATGTCCCTTTCTTATGGACTACTGTGAGTACTATAACTTCCTACCTTTGGGAACTTTTCCTAAGCTTAAGACTCTTCAGGTTCAAAGGCATGCCTCTAAGTCACTACACAACAATGAATATATATTCAGGAACAGTTTTTTATGCCAAATTCCTTGTTCCCACCAGTGCTGAGACAGAACCAACATCTTCCAATTCTAAAAGTTTCAGAGCCATGTCCACAAAGGATCTCTTCATAACATAGTCAAAATATGTTTTTCATGTGGTGGGCTTGTTGGCTTAAGGATTTAGGGGGTGACATCAGTCAAGAAGAGATATGAGTGTTTTATGTAGTTTAGACTGCAAACATCTTACTGTGATTGACATGGACTTTAAACCTAGGATTAGGAAATGAAAGAGAAATAGAAAATATCCAGTAACAAAAAAGTTTCCATTTCTAAAGTAAATTGCACAACATAAACCTTGAAACCACAACTACATCACCAATGGGGGTATGACAGTCTCTTGGAAGTATACAACACCCACACTTTCTGGGTCTTTGTAATCTTCATCCTCTTCTAAGCTCTCCTCTGTCTGGGTCCCAATCTCAGAACGGTCATTTGCTTTCTTTTCAAACTCTGCAATTCTGGAAAACAACAACATGGGAATGTAGAAAAGTTCTACTTTCTGCAGGAGGATAAGCAACTGTAGAAGCATGCCAACAAGTGCTATTAAAGCTTGGATAAAGTTTTCAGTCTTTACATTTGCCTCATTAGCAGTGCTCTTGTTCTTCATCCTAATGCTGGCTAGAACTGCTGTGACTTAACATGAATACACATAGAGCATAGGTGTCTCAATACAGATAAAGCAAAGAAAGACTGGTTGAAGGTGGAAGACTTGCTGGCATGGTGGTGCAGTTCTGTAATTTCCGCTACTGGGGAATCTAAGGTGAGAAAGTCACAAGTTCAAAGGCTGCCTGGGTGACCTAACAATTGCTGTTCAAGGACAGCCTTGGCAACTTCAGAGGACCCTGTATCAAAATAAAAAGAACAAATAGAGCTGGGGATGTGGATCAGTGGTAGAGTCCTTGCCGAGCATGTCTATGTCTCTGGCTTCAATCTCCAGTACTTAAGTATATACATATAGTAGGTTTCATATATGCACACAATTTTACAAATCTTACAAATGTGACTTTCAATCACCCACATGCCTACAGGAACAAAGGGACAGCAGCAGTAACAATAAACAGGAAGTTCAGAATGAGTAGGGCATGGTAAGGTAAAGCTAGACCCTAAATCAAGAGTAGGGAGAGCCAAGAAGTTAACTGTGTTGTAACTGAAACTCTTTATGGCTTGGGAACTGGGGATACCATGTGTATCCATAGGATCGGGGAGAAATAAAGACAACTGGCAAATGGCAAAATAAGGGGGCTCAGGATGCAGACATGTTCATCACAGTCGAGAGACTGGGTTTCCTACCTAAAGGAAAGGAATTTACATTAGACAACTGAAGCCCTGCCTTCTCCTTTTCATCTCAGGATGTCTAGAAAGACATTCTCTAAGCAGGAGACAGGAGGCATCCTCTTTGTAGAACTGGTCTAGGAAAAGGCAAAATATTTAAGGTTTCAGACACAGCCTCACAAAAAAAAAAAAAAAATCTCCAAGCTGAATCTTCCCAAAGCTTCTAGTAGCTTCCAACTCTCCTCCCTGCTAACTCTGACCAGCCAAGATCACTAGACATTTGAGGAAAACCTTGAAATAAAACATTCTGTACTGAAGATAGAGCAGAGCAGTGTAAAGGAGAGATTATCATTAATATCCCTAGAGACTCAAGGTATTATTTGTAGCCATTAAACATCAAAAACATCCTAAAAAGATGAATATTGGTCAGTTTTGAGAGTCAGCAAGAGAACACAGATGGTGTAGAGGAATACAGGTTAAGAAACCACATGACTAGTTCTATATAACAATAATAAGATGATAGCAGGTTCTAAAAGTTGTAAAAGTGAAAAAGGACCAAGTGAGGACAAAATCCCACATTAATTGAGATTGCTTTGTAAGGACAGAAGATCAGGAGTTCAGAAAATAAAACAGTTTAAAGCCAGAACAAATGAATGAAAACAGCCTCTAACCAAAACATGCATCAAATTTCAGATGACTTGGGACAAATTGAAGAACCTGCAGGGGAAAGGAAAAACAATACAAACAAAACAAGTTCCATCCAAGAAGAATCAGAATCAGAATCAGAAAGGCAATGGGTTTCTCAGCAGTAAAACCAAAACTTCATACTGAACAACCAGCCTAGAGTTCTCTATTTAGCCAAACTGTTTGAATATAAAGGTGGAGTTTTTCGGATAGGCAGATCTCAGAAAATATTTTTACATATTCTTTCTCAGTACACCAGTAGAGATGTAATGGAGAGATTGGGAAACTTGGAGCTACATTTAGAACATCCCTTCCAAAACCCATGGTGAAATTTTTTTGGGTAGGGGAATTTTGTGTGTGTGTGTGTGTGTGTGTGTGTGTGTGTGTGTGTGTGTAGAAGTGGATTCCTTCCTTCATAATGTGGGTACTGGGATCAAACTCAAGTTGTCTGGCTTAGTGGTATCTTTTGTCCACTGAGCCAAGTCACTAGCCCAACCTTTGGCTTTTGAAATAGATCTGTACCCCATGCACACACTTAAATGAATGCAGAGGTCAGGAGAGGGTGTCAGATCCTCTGGAGTTACAGGCAGTTGTGAGTCATTCAGTGGGTGCTAGGGAGCAAACTCAGGTCCTCTGTAAGAGCAGTATATGCTCTTAACTGCAGAGCCTTTGTTGACACTTAATTGCCATGGCACTGTAGCAGCCCTGCCCTTATGAAAGCTATCATCTCAGGAGTCAGGTTCCTAATAAAAGGCTCATATAAAAGCTGGACTGTTTTCTGTTGAAAGCCTCCAGAACTGTAGGCTGAATATACTTCCACTGTTTATAACCCATTCTGCTAAAGGAGCAGGAAACTGACCAAGACATTGAGCAAACGTTTAAATGGCTAACTTTGCACTGAGATATAAAAAGTGTTTGAAGGAAAGGTGATTGTTGCACAGTGTATGGCTCAAATGTGAGTACACAAATATGTTGTGTGCATGTGTCTAAATGTTCAGTAACATGGACACTGATTGAATAGTCATGTGATTAAAGCTCAGAATTATTGATTTCAGCCAGGAACAGGTGGTAGAGAAAGTTCCAGAAATGTACTGTGTTGATGATGGTTGTGCAAGACACTTAAATCTTCCTCATGTAAACTTAGAGGTCAGAAACATCATAATTAAAATCTTCAAAGAAAATAACAATCTAAACCTTATCCATGAAGGCAGCTACCAAAAGAACCAAGTAGATGGGTTGAAAGTGACTCAGAAACAGGAAAGGTGTGGGTAGGAAGGGGCTGCTCAAAGCACTGCTTCTCCAAGGGAAGATGTAGAGCCATTTTTTGTTTATTACTTTTGTGTTACAAACTGTGAACCCTAATTGGTATGCAGTATTTGTCTCTATGGCTAGGCTGAATACATGGATGAGGCACCAGATGGTACAGGCAGGAGGGTGGGCTTATTAACACTGTAGTACCGTTCACATTTCACACAGGTTTTGACCTATGTTTGAATTACAAATTATCTTAATTTTCTGGGGCAAATATTCAATTTGAGTCATCTTTCCCTTGCTATTTCTTAATTTTTTTTTTTAAAAAAGGGGCTACTTTTCCTACACACCTTCTTTCTTCTTATGGGCTTATTTAGAAAATACAAATTAAGTCAGTTGTGGTGTGCACACTTTTAATCTCAGCATCGGGAGTTGACGCAGGTGGATCTCTGTGAGATCAGCATGGTTTATCATAGCATGTTCCAGGCCAGCCAGGGCTACATAATGAGAGCCCATCTCAAAAAACAAAACAAAACAAAACAAAAAAACCAAAACAAAAAAAACAAAACCAAAACAAAAAAAAACAAAACTCAAAATGACAAACAACCCAAAGGCAAAAACAAAAAGCCCTACAATTACATGAAACCTGAAAGCTATACATGCCACAAAGAAGACAGAAAGGCAAACCTACTAACGTCTCTTTCCCCCATATACCACACCTTAAATTTTATTTTCACTAAAATTAAATGTAGAACACCTTTATTCTTGTTTCCAGTGATTGGGGAGAAAGGCTTTAAGCTGGCCCACTTATTTCAGAAAAACACAGGGTGGGTCTTGCAATGTATTTGTGCCATAACTGATTTCAGTGTGTGCAAATCCAGGTGTGTGACCATGTGTCCATGATGTGTCTTGGTTTTAGTCCTGCCTTGTCTAAGAAGCATCCACTACCCTGGTACCATGCATGAATCTCTGCAACTGCTTATTGGCTTGCTCTGTTAAATACTGAGAGTCACCTGGGCCACAAGTTCAATGTCATTGAAAAAGGAACCTTTCCAGGGTACTCAGGGTTGGGCATGCACCTCTAAAGAGCTATATGCCTTCTGGTCTCTAGGGAGAAAGCTGTGTTTTTGTTCATTTTGTTTGAAAGCAGGAAGAAGACTAGGAATCTATGATTAGCAAGCTGCCAAGCTTATACATCTTCTATTTTATTATTCACAAGCATTAAGGAACAGAGTTCCACGACATTGTGGATGAAGCTCAAAAACACTATGGTGAAAGGAAGAAGTCAGTCACAGAAGGCCAATCCTGTATGAGTGCAGAGATCTCCAAAGACAGAGAGTCAGTTCCTCGGAGAAGAGGGGTACTGATTCTTTATATGGGGAGAAATGTTCTAAGATGATACAGTGGCAATGGGCATACAGTCATGTGACTAAAACCCTTGAAATGTATACTTTAAAGAGTGACCTGCAAGGTACCTTATTTGTGTTTTACCAAAGCCATTAATCTTTCACATTAATAGTTCATACCTTTCTTTGGCTTCTCTGAGTGCGAATTCAAGTCTTCGCACCTTTTGGTTTCCTTCTCTTAGGCAAAGCAGGAGTTGGCTCACAGTTAATTCCTCAAACTCCACACAAGTCCTGGCATCTTCTGTAGATTTGGTCCTAATAAGACATCACCACCACATTCAGTACGGAAATTAAAAAGGTTTTAAACTCGACAAAAAATGCCAAGAATAAGAACAGAGAAGCCCAATACAGCTGAAACCAATTCTTTTTTTATTTTTTGGTTTTTCGAGACAGGGTTTCTCTGTGGCTTTGGAGGCTCTCCTGGAACTAGAAAAACTTTTCTTGTTTTGGTTTCATACAAAACAGAGGCATGTAGACACTACTGGTAAAAGTTTTTTTAAGTTTCAGAATCTGATAAAGAGACACATTTACAATAAACAAGCAACTATGATCATCACTCAGTGACGGAATGTTCAGAGTAACAATGAAGATGGCAGGGATGGCAGCTAGTCTTTGATCTGCAAGGCTCACATATCGAACAGCCAGGATTAAAGACTCCAAAGTGGTACTCCAAGCTCAGAAACCACACCAAATCCCTTCAGACTCATAAAAGGTAGGGGCTATTGGCCTGAAAGAGGAAGATGTCTTTGCATATGGAAATAAATGAAGAGGAAGTGGCTTAAATATTACAAATACAGTTTTCTTTCTTCCCTCTACTTCCAAGAAAGTCTGGATATTAAAAGCAGCAATTTGGGGAAAGTTGAATTTTAAACCAAAAAAAAAAAAAAAAAAAAAAGGAATAACACTCGCCTATACCAATTACTCTAGTGAAAAACTGTTGTATTATTTACATTCTTCATGATATGAGAACATAGGGACAGACCTAAAAAAATGTTCTGTTAACTTTTTCTGTGTCATTCTCTATGTATATTTATCAAGTAATAGGAAAAAAATGGTTTAGAAGTCTGTGAGATAGGAGATGCAGAGAAATTCTGAGCAAACTGACAGGCAAATGGACAATGGTGCATACACACACACACACACACACACACACACACACACACACACACACAGAGGATAAGGGAACTGCTAGCTTTGGATAATAATGACTTCAAGAACCAAGAAATTTAGTGCCCAGCTCTTCTACTGCCTCTACTCAAAGGTCCTTCCATTACTTGTCTGTTTCCTAGAGTCTGCTTGGGAAAGGCAGAGTTGAGATTCCAGAGGTAAGTTCCTGGACAATTTTGAAGTTGATGAGATGGCTCAGTGGGTAAAGATGTTGCCATCAAGTCTGGTGGCCTGAGTTTGATCCTCAGAACCCACATAATAGAGAGAAAAGATGTCCATAAACTGTCCTGTGGCCTCCACATGTGTGCGGTAGCATGTTCCCTCCCCCATCATATACATACACACTAATAATAAATAAAAGATCTGGGGTACTTTCATGAAATACCTCAGTGATTGACAGCTATCACAGCCTTTGCCTCAGTAGCCAGTGTTGGTTACTGTGGCTTATTATAATCAGGAGAGAATATGGAAGATAAAGGTCCATTCCATTTAAGGAAGCTGGGCAGCCTGTTCACTTCGAGCAGCTCTGAAAAAAGAATGAACAAACATGGGGCTGCTCCTGATGAAAAAGCCCCCTTTTGACAGAGGATGAATTTGTTTATATTTCTAACAGAGGGTCAGCACTTGTTAGCCTTAAAAAAGGCACCAGGCATGGTTTTCATTCCCTGCCAGTTTGGGCTGCAACATTAAATACCGTTGAAAATGAATGTTAGCTCATGGGAAGTTGAGGCAGGGTGGCTGCAGGTTCAAATCAACCCTGATCACAGAGGAAGATCCTGCCTCAGAAAACAAGATAAAGTACTTCAGTCCATCGTGCCCAGCTTCCAATGACAGGCTCAAAGTGACAAGACTGCCCCTTCTGTGTGCCTGACAACTCTAGAGTTCCAACACCTACATGCTGGTGAAGTATGTCCTCCTAGGTATAGGACTGCTCTTCATTTCCTTCATTGCCCCTTCAGCTTCTTCTTCCTGTAAAAGCAGAGACAAAAGGGACTGAATACAACAGATGTGCAAGACAGATCCCCTTTCAAAAGAAAAAATATTCCACACAAGGAAAACACTTAGCTTTTCTGAGATAAGACCTAATTTGGATCACTTAGATGAAACAGAAAACACTCTCCTCTTGGGCCTGCACGCCCTGTCAGGATTATAAATATCTAAACTAAGGCATGAAGGTCAGTCTTCTGCCATATGACACAATCAACCCAACTCCATAAACATGTGGATGAGGCTTACAAAGCAGTAGTTTTGCCAAGCCAGCTGCCGTTATACATTTACTGCACCACTGCCTGTTACGGAAACAAAGCTGAAAGACTCAGACTGTCAGGATTTATGAGCTGATTATATTTCAATAAGCTAATGAAGCAAATCTTCACAAATGCACAAAGATGGGTTTGGGATGCTTTGGCTACCCACTTCCTAAGCCATGGACCGAGCTTTCCAGCTCACAGAAGCCAAGTGAAGCACATTTACACTCACCATAACCGTCACTCATCTGGGAGGCGGTAGATGATACAACCCTGGGAGAGGCCTCCTTTGGAAACTTGTGATAAAATATCTGGGTTTCCTGACTTTTATCAGCCAATTACAGGGCTACAGCTCTAATTTTGTGTCTCAGTTATCTTCAGCCACTTGGAGAAGTATGCTTTTCAAATCCTCATTCTGGGCACTCCGAAAATGCACCTAAAATTTCTTAGAGGGTCATTTTCCAACTGGACAGATCTGTTGGGCAGTTGGTAAGTAAGGAATCCCACACTAACTACTCTAGATCTATCTAGTACCTTGGGTGTCTTACAAGCTGTTCTGCACTCCCTGACCTTAGCTATAAAGTGCACTTCTCTCCTTAATTGCTTTTCCTACATCAGATATCAACTCTGACAAAGTGGAAATGACACTTCTATTACAAAGGATTTTGTCCTGGTGTAGTTCTTACCCTCAATTCAGGTATCTCTTAGAAGCACTGAAGGAGACGTCCCTCCAATGCTTATCCATCTGCTTTCTTCTATTATGGGACTTAGCGCACTCAGATCCCATCACAAGGAACACCCCACAAGAGCTCAGGGATCAGTACACACTGCCTCAGTTGGCCAATTCACTTGGGTTGCACAGAATTTAAGTTTAATAGCTCTGGCTTCAAACTCTGCTCTCAGAAGCCAAGTCATGGCTTGTAGCAGGGAGGTAAAGACCAGACCTCCTCAATCTACACCCAGAGTAACTCTGTTCTTCCTGTTCCCACTCCTGATATTTATTTTATTATTGACTATATGCATGTATGTATTGGTGAGTAAGTGTAGGTGAGTACAGGTACCATCTGAGGCCAGAAGAGGTATCAGTGCTTGGAGCAAGTTGTGAGTTACCCAGTGTGGATGCTGGGAATGGAACTCAGGCCCTCTTGAAGGGCAGTATTAGCTTAACTGCTGAGTCATATTTCCAGCACCCCACCCCTGTTTTTGAGACAAGGTTTCATGTATCATAGGCTGGCCTTGAACTAGCTCTCTAGCTTAGAATAACCTTGAACTTCTGATTTTCCTGCCTCTACCTACTGAGTCCCAGGATTACAGGTGTATGCTGTTACACTCTGTTTATGTGCCACTAGAGATGGAACCCAGGGCTTCATACAGGAAGCATAAATTGCCAGGTTTATAAAGCTAGTGTCAGGTCCAAAGGAAATTCCAATTCCCAAAACTACAAAAGGCAGTGCGTATGTCCTTTTGGCTCAGCTCAGGCTGGACAATAGAAGGATTTCTGATTGCTAGATAAAAGCCAACAACATTCCTCAGGAACTTGTGAAACAGATTCCTCCAAAAGGAGTCATTTTCCCTGCCTGTGGCAGGCAGTGCTCTCTGTTGACATAAACCTATAGTTCCACATCAAAGCCCAGGCTGGCCTCCAGATTCCCATAGTCTCTATCCACAGGTGCTGTTATACTTCTCACTTCCTCATGTTTCCCTCCTCCCTACCCTAAACTCCCAGGCCTGCTCCAGATCATGCGATTCCCTTCCCCCCAGCTACTTGTCCTCCTTAGAACCCCAATGATTTTTCCACGCTGCCCCCTACCCCAGCTTCTCTTGCAGATAGCCCTGGTCATGTCCAGTGTGTCTCTTTTCTCTCTTCTAGATGTCTCTGAATATTTTCTCTCTCTTATTCACAATAAAAATTTGCCCCCTAATAGTGGAGTGGCCATTTCGATGGTTTCTTTACTGCACCCCTCATGTGCATCCAGGACAACCCTTGTCCAGTGTTATACACTTAAAAAAATAAACACATTTCCAAATGAGGCCTCTCCCAGCATCATCTGCTGCCTCCCAGATAAGTGACTTTGCTTTCATGAGCTGGAAAACTTGATCCATGGCTTAGAAAGTGTGTAGCCAAAGCATCCCAAACCACCTTTGTGCATTTGTGAAGATTTACTCCATTAGCTTATTGAAATATAATCAGCTCATAAATCCTGCCAGTCTGAGTCTTTCGGCTTTGGTTCCTTAACAGGCAGTGGTGCAGCAAATGTATAATACCAAGCGGCTTGGCAAAACTGAATGACCAATTTATCTCTATTCCACTGTTACTCTTCATGTGGCTTAGCTGTATTGATAGCAAGTCATGTGTCCCCAGAACGCTTGCTTGCTTCACATGTCTGATTTGCAAGCAAGCACTCTTACCAATTGAGCTACACAACCAGTACATTTTATCATTAAAATTTTACTTATTATTTATATTATTATTATATATTATTATTATTTGTGTGTGTATGTGTGTGGGGTGTGCTTGTGCCGTGGAGAAGGTACACAAGTCAGGTGACAACTCTGGGTCAGCGCTCTCCTTCTGACTTTACATGGGTTCCAGAGACCAAACTCAGGCTGTCGGCCTTATGTGGTCAACACCTTTTCCTGCTTAATCATCTTTTCAGCCCCTCTTATTTTTAATGATCATGGTTCCACACTAGACTTTGCAGAGAGGCTATTAAACACTATTAAAGGGAGCTTAAGGGTTGGTAAGATGGCCCAGTAGGTTAAGACACTTGCCACAAGGCTGATGACCTGAGTTCAATTCCTTGGACCTACATTGTAGGAGAGAACCAGTTCCTGAAGGTTGTTCTCTGACCTCCACAGTGTTCTGTCACTTGTATAAAAAATAATTTAAGCTGCTTAAAAATCACTCAAACATTTGATCACAATTTTGCTCATCTAGGTGGACTATTCAACATAATTCTGAGACTGGGCTTGGGAAAAAAGATAAAATTCATGCTTATGATTTTCATTTGGGACATTTTGTTTGTTTTCAGATCAGTCAGAAAACTGTCCAACTTGGGAGGTCAGATTTGGGGTGGGGACTTTATCTTTTGTCCAAATAGCTGAGTGATTTTTTTTCTAAATTTCAGCTAGTAATGGATCCCAATATAAACAGACCTTTGTTAGGCATCATCTTACACTTAAAAATGGGAGCAAATTTATCTCTGTTATACTGGAGTTTCCTCATTATTTGGATAGGCTGTGTTGACAATACACTGAAATATATTTTTCACATGTCTAGAGGGGGTTGGACATTTGCTTCATATAAAAATGACCACAATTCTTACAGCCATCCTGATCTCAACAAAGGAGTCCTCTGAGGAGCCACTGGAGTTGAGCTTGAGCTGCAGTTCTGAGACGATGCCCAGCAGGTCAGCCTTTTCAGCTTTAAGGCGCATCACCTGGATCTTCAGCTGCTCCACTTCCTGTTCTAAGTCTTCCATGGGAGGCCTGGAGCCACATATGGAGCCCTGGGAAGACCAAGAATGAGGCAAATACACAAATCAAACCAAAGGGTCTAATCTGCCAGCAAACCTGATGGACAATGCTCATATATATTCATTCTCTCTCTCTCTCTCTCTCTCTCTCTCTCTCTCTCTCTCTCCAGGATATCATGTAGCCCAGGTTGGCCTTGAATTCAGAGCAGAGGAATATCATGTAGCCCAGGTTGGCCTTGAACTCAGAGCAGAGGATAGCCTTGAACTTTGGAGCCTCCTACCTCTACCTTCCAAGTGGCTGGTATTATAGACATGCACCACGATGTCCCATTTTATTTTTGTGTGTTGGGGGTTCACATTTGTGTGGGTATGCTCATGGCATGCATATGTGTGCGTAGAGAAAAACAACCGTGGGTAATACTTCTCAGGTGCCAACCATCTTGTCCACCTTTTTTGTTTTTGTTTTATTTTGGAGAAGGTTCTCTTATTGACCTAGGACTTCACAAGTAGGCTAGGCTGGCTAGCAGGTGAGCCCCAGGAATCTGCTGTCTTTGCATCCCCAGCTCTGGGATTATATATACATATCACCATGCCTGGCTTTTTCACGTGTGTTCTGGAGATTAAACTTGGGTCTTTAGCTCTTCCTTAGTTGAGCTCCATCTCCAGACCCATGCACTTTTCTAACATCTTCATCTGCTGTGCTATAAGTAGAAGATTTTTCCTTCTTATTTAACAACTTATTTTGATACACCATATAAAATAGGGATTTGGGGGCTAGGGGTAGCTTGCCTCAAATGTGTGAGACCCTAGGTTCAATCCACATAGCCACACATACAAAAAAAGAAATTTGTAATAACTTAACAAGAAAGAAAGGCTTCCACAGCATGCTAGAATCATGGGTTAAAATAATGAAAATAACTAACCAGACTCTGACACTGGTAGACTCAGACACTGTAGGTCAAAAATCTCAGAAAACAAGGACCAAGAGTTGTCAAAACTCAACCTTCTACTTTTTCCCCTCACCACAAGCTCCTACTTATCTCCACCCTCACTCCCCATGTGCAGTCAGAAGCCAGAGCACCAAGAATGTGACCTGGCTAAGTAATGGCAAAATACGGAAAGGTTTCTAGTCCTCCCAATATGCTAGCTGCTGGGCATATTACTCTATGCTGGTGTTGTAAGACTGAAGAAAATAAAGCTGGGAGAAAGAAGATGACAAAAACTCAAAGACTGGGGCTGGAGAGATGGCTCAGAGGTTAAGAGCACCGACTGTTCTTCCAGAGGTCCTGAGTTCAATTCCCAGCAACCACATGGTGGCTCACAACCATCTGTTATGAGATCTGGTGCCCTCTTCTGGTGTGCAGATATACATGGAAGCAGAATGTTATATACATAATAAATAAATAAAATCCTTTTAAAAAACTCAAAGATTAAGAAAATGTTAAACTTTAGCCTATATAGAATCAATAATACCCATGAATTAGTATTGCACATACATGAAATATATGTCACATGTGTGTTGAGTTCACCGTGTTGTAATGACCACATATGACAGCAATGGGGGAACAAGCCTGTTCAGATGCTTTCACTCATCTGCATTCACTGATCAAGACGGGTGTGGTCCTCAGCGGACCCTTTGAAATCCCAACCTCAGTCTTCTTGGGTCAGAAGGAAAATGTGACACCACATAGTCCATAGATCTTCCAGGCCTCCCTGGTTCCCTCCTCAGGAAACCTCTATACTTGATGTACAAGCTATCATGCTTCATGCCCCTTTCCTAACTTTAAGTACCTCTCTAATTATAGTTTAACTCTTAAACCTGTTTTTTATCGTCATTTGATCATTACTGGGGATTGGACCCAGGATAATGTCTATGCTAGGCAAGTGCTCTACACTGAGCTACACCCCAGCCCTATTTCTGTGTATGTGTATGGTGTGTGCATGTGTACACATGTGTGCAGGTGCACTTGCCCAAGCAGGTGGGTGTGGAGGCCAGAGGCTATGTCAGGATATCTTTCTCAATTACTTCCCCACCTTATTTTTAATTTTATTTTAACCTTATTATCTTGAAACACTGTCTCACTGAACCTGGCCCTCACAATTGCAGCTAGACTGACTAGCCAGGGAGCTGCCCCCACCCCACCCCTCTATCCAGTATTGGGTTACAAACTCACATTGCCACACCTATTTTTCTTTTGTTTTTTATTATTGTTTGTTTATTTAAGACAAAGCCTTGCTAAGTAGTCCAGGATAGACTGGAACTCATTATGTAGCCCAGGCTGGACTCCAACTTGGGGCAATCTTCCTGAATCTGTGGTCCTAGAATGGATGTTTAGATAGTAAACTTAAAAAACAAACAGAAAACCCAGTGCTCCATCCTTGGAAGGGTTTAAGTATGATGTTTGGAAGGAATGGATGATAGGTGTCACCCAGATGTCACCTGGGGCCTTGGAGGACCAGTTGAGATCAGTGTGCTCTGGTTTGTCCTTTGTTAGGTATCTCTGACATGCATTCTCAGGGGTGCATGTGTTTCACAGGACTTTTGGGTTAACCAAAATGTGACCATACCCTCTTTAACCATGGCAGCCCTGCAGTCAGTGTCCCATATCACAACATGGTACTCCTAAGTCATTTTTCAAAAGCAAACTGTAAAGGGAATCACCACTACTTTAAAGGATAACAAGGCCAAAAAGTAAGCATTCCAAGATACATTTGTAAAGTCTAATTTTATATCAAGGATATAAACTAAGAACTAACCAGTGGATGGCTGTAGGCAGAGGTCCACCTACCATTTTTTAAAAATATTTATTTATTATGTATACAGTGTTTTGTCTGTATGTCAGAAGAAGGCACCAGATCTCATCACAGATGATGTGGGCCACCATATGGGTGCTGGGAATTGAACTCAGGACTTCTGGAAGAGCAGTCAGTGTTCCTAACCTCTGAGCCATCTCTCCAGCACCCCACCTACCATTTTAATGAATAGTAAACTTAATTTTTTTGTTGTTTTTTGTTTTTTAAGACAGGGTTTCTCTGCAGCTTTGGAGGCTGTCCTGGAGCTCATGCTGTAGACCAGGCTGGCCTCAAATTCACAGAGATTTGCCTGCCTCTGCCTCCCAAGGGCTGGGATTAAAGGCGTGTGCCACCAACGCCCAGCCCCAAATTTTTTAAAAAGATTTATTTACTATGTATATAGCACTCTGTCTACATGTGTGCCTGCAGGCCAGAAGAGGCTACAAGATTCCACTACAGATGGTTGTAAGCCACCATGTGGTTGCTGGGAATTGAACTCAGGACCTTTGAAAGAGCAGTCAGTGCTCCTAACCACTGAGCAATCTCTCCGGCCCCCAAAATTTTTGTTTTTTAAGTTTACTATGAAACATTGATTTATAATCTGAATTGATGGGGGAGATCCTTCTGTGTATATGTTTGTCTTATTGGTTGATAAGTAAACTACTGTTGGCCAATAGGAAAGCAAGATAGGTGGGACTAGGAGTCAAGGAGGATTCTGGGAAATGTAGTAGAGATCCAGGCAGGAAGTGACATAGCAGGCAGACTCAGAATATAAGCAGGAAACTGCTCTCTTTCTCTTCCTCTTTCCCCTTCTCTCTTCTCTACAGAGCCACCATGTGATCCTGGGAAGAGGATGCCAGCAGAAGGCATCCTTGATAAGTCTTATAAAATATATATATTTGTGATAATTAAGACTGAGCTGGCATATAAGAAATCCTAGTCAATTGGCCAGCAGCATTGTAAACTAATATAGGACTCTGTGTGTTATTCTGGGCGCCCACATGGCGGCGAGGCTCGGGCAGATGGAGTAAAGACTTATATGTTACACTGAATGTTTTCAGTTTAGTTATTTTGGGACAGAAAGTCTCATACTACTCACCCTGGCCTGGAACTCACCTTGTAGTCCAGGTTGGCTTTGAGCTCTCCAGCCACCTGCTCAGTCCCTACATAGCTAGGATTACACAGTTAGCCACCATGCCTAGCTCATAATTATCTTTTGACTATATTGTATGAGATCTTATAAATGTCTGCTTTGTTTGTGATATATATATATATATATATATATATATATGAGATGTATGTATATATACATACACACACATATATATATGCACACACATATATAATGTATGTATGTATGTATGTATGTATGTATGTATGTATGTTCCTGCAGGTATGTGCATGAAAGTGTGAAGGTGAACATGCATGTAGGTGTGTATATGGAGGCCAGGGATAGACCTAGATCACTCTGCATCTTTTTTTTGAGACAAGGTCTCTCACTGAACCTGGAGCTCATTGATCTGGCTGGCCGGCCAGTGAGTTTCAGGGATGTGACTGTCTTGGCCCCAGTACTGAATTTCAGACGCGCACCTCCAGTTCTGTATTTTACATGGGTGTTGGAGATCAGGTCCTCATGTTTGCAAGGCAGGCACTTCACAGATTGAGCCATCTCTGCAGCTCTGTCCTTATAAATATCCTTCCCCAAAAGAGATTATGTACAGGCCAGTCAGTGTTTCCAGCAAAACCACACTGCTTCCAAGACCCTGCAAAACACCTGTGCAGCCTGAACCACAAAAGTTTTGATCAAACAATCCAGACCAGTAAGATTCTCCTGCTGTTGTGAAACAGTTCCTTCCAGACAGAGACATTCCTTCATGTAGGAATATAAACAGGAAGATGAACAATTTAAAATAGCTTCAGGAAGTCCTTGAAACTGACCAGATCTCTCCCTGACAGAAGAAGCTGGGCAGTGGTGGCCTTTAATCCCAGCACTCAGGAGGCAGAGGCAGGTAGATGTCTGTGAGTTCAAGGTCAGCTTGGGCTACAGAGTGAGTTCCAGGACAGCCAAAGCTACACAGAGAAACCCTGTCTCCAAGGAAAAACAAAACAAAACAGAGTAAGCATAAAAGCTGAGAGTCCTTCTTTGATGGAAGGAAGCTGAGCTATAAAGACAATGAGAGGAGAGAAATTTAAAGACAAGACTCTGAGACCACACCAGCTATCTGGAAGAAGAAGAAACCAGCCCAGCTGCCTAGAAGAGGTTAGACCAGAGTCACTTGGAAAGGACACTCTCCAACTGGTTGAGCTGCCCACAGGCTGTGCAGTATTCTCCAGGTTTCTTAGCTTTTGTGAGCTGTCACCCATGCTAGGGTGGGCCTTGGTGATGTAGCTGCTTTTATTTCTGCTCCTGTGAGTAGTCGCTCACCCATACTCCTGTAAGTAACCCTAATAAAACTCATTGGCTCACGAAGTTGAACTTTGGTGGTATCCGTACTTTTGTCTGTCATGGGGTTTCTATCTGGATTAAGTAGATGTATATATTGTATCTTCCCAGGAAAAGTTATGTCACACAAGAAAATAAAACCACGGATCACATACTCACTTCAAATGGCCTTTCTGACTTCTCTCTTAGTTTTCCAAGCTCCACCTTCAGTTTCTCATTTTCATAACTCAAGGTCATCAGGAGCTTCTTAGCTTCTTTGTTCTGTGTGTCAAACAACTGTCGTTCTTCCTTCTGCTTCTCTGCCCAGGCTGAAAGCTCCTCATATCTCCCTTTCATGGCTTGATTGTTTAGCTTCATGGCTTCTGTTTGAGGTTTAGAGAGAGGAGTCACCCACCAGGGAATGGATGTGAGTTCATGAACCAGCTCTCCCCTCTGGCTATTTCAATGCTTTGGGGCTCTGGGTCTAAACATGACCCAGTGGCCTGGGATGGTTGCATCAGCAGGGAAAAGACTACATCGATGTCAGCAGAGTTTGCTCACAAACTAGAACAGCATTACTAGTCCGTAAAGGTCACAAGAAAGGCCAGGCATGGCGGCTCCTAACTGTACTCCCAGCACTGGGAGTCAAAAGGTAGGATGATGAGGAGTTCAAGGTCAGTCTCAGGCACATAGTGAGCAGGAGGCCATACTTGGCTACACAAGACACTGTCTCAAAACAACAAAATCCTCCAAATAGAATTGATTTGGGATATAACTTCCTGTTAATGACCAGAAGTCTGGAAGACTCGGGAAGGCCCTATCATTCTTTGATTATAATGTTTAATTAGCCATGGCTTGAGATAGCAGAATATAAACAAAGTTTCACTATGTATGTAGCCCAGGGTGGCCAAGAACTTGCTATCTAGCATATGACAGCATCTCCCTGCTGCCTCTTCTGTTTTGGAGCCCTGCACCATCATGCCTAGCTCAGAATGCTTTCTCCTGACAAAATTTACACCTAACTGTAACCATTTGTCTTTTAAATGGGCTAAATGTCATTAGACTATTTTCAGAGATGGAATACTTTGGTTTGGTTTTGTATAGTGGTGAGGATCCATCCTAGAGCTTTACACATGCTGGGCAAGCTCTTTATTACTGATTTACACTCTCAGCCCCTAAACAGAGTACTTTTTGTCTGATGTGTAAAAGTATATAAACAGAAAGCCTTGCAGCACTACTCAAAGTCTTGCTGTGCAGTTTCTCCCCCTAGGGATCCGGCAGAGACAGGACCTCACTTACAATCCTTCTGCAGAAGGGACTGTTTCCTGAGTGGCAAATCCAGATGACAGCCCTGCTCACCTTTCAGCTGGTGGTTCTCAACCAGGAGTTCCTTCATTTGCTGCAGCATCTCCTCAGGAGTGAATGTGTCCAGGCTGGGGTGAACCTTATTAGGGGGTTCATTTCCTGGGGTCTCACAGAGGCTGTCACCCTTCTCAGTCAGGCAGCTCGGAGGTTGATGGGACATGGTAACAGGTCCTATAGAAAAGCCACAAGCTAAAAATATAGCTGTCGCCAGTCTGCCACAGGCCTTGGAAAGGCCCACAAATAGCAGTAGTATTTCCAAGGTTGCTGGCTTTCCCTCCAGTTGCATCATGAAGGCTTTCCCTTTAAACATCCAGCTGCATGGCCCACCTTCATGGGACCATGTGTAGAAAGGGGTGGAAATGGAAATGAGATTCAAGTGTAGAAAGTGATAATGATTAGAATAATATCTGTAGCTGGGCGTTGGTGGCAAATGCCTTAAATCCCAGCACTTGTGAGGCAGAGGCAGGTGGATCCCTGTGAGTTCGAGGCCAACCTGGTCTACAGAATGAGTTCCAGGACAGGCTCCAAAGCAATACAGAGAAACCCTGTATTGAAAAACAAAGCAGAGAGAGAGAGAGAATAATATCTGTAGCCTTGGTGAAGGATCACTACATACAACCCTTGAAATCTTTTAAGTTCAAATCTCCTTATTTTGAGTGAATTGTATAGCTCCGGAATTAGGTTTCAATAAAGCTATTAAAATCTTCATTTATATACTTATTGAAAGCTATTAAAATCTCTATATTTTATATTTATTGAAACCTAATTAAACCCTGCATATTTTATATTTATTAAAAGCTATTAAAATTTACATATTTTATCTTTGATAAAAGGGAATGAAAGATAATGTTTATTTTTGGCAATTCTTAGACTTAGTATGTGCTGAAACTCTACCAGACATGTCCTACTCTTTCTTTTTGTTTGGTTTTTTGAGACAGAGATTCTCTGTGTAACAGTCCTGGCTGTCCTGGAATTCACTCTGTAGACCAAGCTGGCCTTGAACTCACAGAGATCCACCTGCCTCTGCCTCCCAAGTGCTGGGATTAAAGGAGTGTGCCACCAATGCCTGGTGACATCCCTACTCATGATCTTTCAGGTGAGGAAGCAGGTGTAATAGCTCACCTAAGGTCAGAAGTGGCATGTGGCAAGGCTGAGGTGAAGATACCATCTTTTAAATACAAGGAATGTACACGAAGTTTCTTTTAAATTGAGGCTTTGATATGATATTTATCAGTGCATACACACCAAACACTAAAGCTGCTTGATACCTACTGCATATCCTGAAAACACTTCTATGTCTACGGCTTTATTTCATAGCTGTGTCAATGAGCACACATAAATAAGAGTAACTGACAATTCCACCTCTCTATTACCTACCACTCAGGTAAACAGACATCTTTCTAATGACTGGCTACACACACATTCCAGGCAAAAAGGTTCCATCTTCATGCTTCATGAACATGAGATATTCCCATCATAAAATGATACAAAGTAGAGGAAACACACATACACTGCCTTATTCTACAAGGGCAAATGACTGAAGTCCAGAGAGATGACCGGAAAAAAAAATATCATTTCTTGGGCCTGGAGAGTATTTAAAAGCACTCGACCCTCTTTGGCTCCCAGCACCCATGTCGGATGGCTTACAATTGCCTGCAACTCCAGCTCTAGGGGATCTGATGTCCTCTTCTGGCCTCCATAAACACACATATACACATGCTATATACTCACACAGACACACATACACATAAATTTTAAAAAAACTTAAAATTTTACCTCTAAGAATTATAAGATAAATTTAAATCCATCTACGCAACCAACGGCATCAAATGATAATGCTTGACCTACATCTATGGTTATGGTAAGGCAGCAGCCACTGGTGCCACAGAAAGCCCTGGGATGCAGAAGGCACATGTAGGCACATGTTGGTGAGCACTCGATTCCTGCACCTCTGGATAGGAATCGAATCTAGAGGCTCAGGCATGTTAGGCAAGTCCTCTACCACCGAGCTACAGCCTCAGTGCCCAATCTTATTTCTAACTGGAGGCAAAGGCATTGCTCTTAGACTGCCATCTAGCTCCTCATGATTAAGGTGCCTGTGTGGCTCCATGAGTTGTATTTCATTGTACATGACATCAGTTGCTCTTCTGACAGGCAGGAGAACCACCCTCTCTGCCATGTAGGATGCATGCTTAATACCCACAAATGAAAATAAGACCAGATGCACAGAAAGAGGGCTGCCCATAGGAGGCAGGATCTTGGGGGCTCTGTGGGTTCTCTAAAATCAAGAGTCTGGTGCACTGCTTCTAGTCTGAAGGACTTGTAGGTAAATCATAGTGCTAACACTGATGGGGAGGGCAGGCTGACTGTGTTACTTAAAGCATCTGCTCGGAAGAAACGCATCCCAGGAAGTAAACAAGAAGGACGGCAATTTCACAGAGGGAAAACACGGACAAAGCATTGCTCACTTACAAGCCTCTTGCATAGAAACGGCTTTTACCTAACTGAATTGGTTTAAGATGCCTTCCCCGTACCCTTCCTGGGTAGAGCCCAGGTTTTTGATTTTCCACACAACTCATTTTTGCAACTGAGTATGACAGTGCACATCGATTCACTGCTTTAGGATGCTGAGGCAGGAGGATCACACATTTCAAACCATTGTGGGATATTTGGTGAAAACCTGTCCCTGTAAAACCAACCAAAAGATCTGAGGAGATAGTCTGGGGATCAAATGCTCACTGTGCAAGCTCCAGGTTTGGATCCCCAAGCCAGAAAGGCATGGTGGCCTTCTGTAATGCCAGCATTTGGGAGGCAGAGATGGGATCCTGGGAGCAAACTGGACAGCTAGACTAGTTGGAATTTGTGAGTTCCAGATTCAGTGAAGGGATCTTGCCTCAATAAATAAACTAGAGAAGAATCAAGGAAGATGCCTGCTGCCAACTTCAGATATAGTACCAACCTCAGACATGGTGAACATGCATATACATACACATAGAAGAGAAAAAAATCAATTAATATTTTCATTTCTGAAATATTGATGTTGGTGATAACATGTCATTAAAATGGAATTTTTTGAGCATCAGTAAATTTTCCTGAGGTATTTAATTTGCAAAAGCCATAGAAACACTTGGCAGACTTGTGTGTTGGGAAGTGACTGCCAGGAATAGAACCCAGGGTCTCATGGATGCTAGCAAGCACTCTGTGAGCTATACCTATTCCAACATACTCTTTTGATTTTGTTTTTATCTTTGCCTTTTGAGACAGTCTTATTTTATAGCCCAGGTTTGCCTGGGACTCATTATGTAGAGCAGATTGCCCTTGAATTCATGGTGATCCTCATGCCTCCACATGCTGAGTGCTGAGATTACAAAGATGAGCCACTATGCCCATCTCAATAGATTTTTTAAAAAGTAATAAACAGACATCTAGAAAATGTGTTTAGTCCCATCTTAACACAAAAAACAAATGACCCAGAGACAGATATCCAGATATCGGTGTTCAACCTGAAGATCAGGGAAGCAAAGCAGCCAAGCTACCAGAGAGCTCTTACCTCTAAAAGGGCTGGGGTGTTCCTCAACGCTGCTGGAGAATGACTGCTCAATACTGACTGCCTGATCCTGTCTTATATACTTCCCTAATTCTGGGACTAAAGGTGTGTGATCCCAGGTGCTGAGATCAAAGGCGTGAGCTGTTTCTCTTTAGAACTGGATCAATCTTGTGTAGATCTGAGTAGCCTTGGACTCACGGAGATCTGTCTCTTAATCCTGAGTCCTAGGATTAAAGGTGTGTACCAGCACCTCCTAGCTTGTGGCTGCTGAGATTAAAGGTGTGTAACTTTGCTTTCTGAATCCTCAAGCAAGCTTTAATAAATCATAAATACTATATCACTACACCACTCTCCCCTGCTAACCCCACCATTATACTGACCATTCTCACAAACACATACTCACCTAGTCACATTGTTGTCAAATGGTGTTAGAAAAATTAATTCCATAATTCAAATGCTATGGTGAATAAGAAGCTAGCATAAACCGCAAATGTGAGCATCCAAATACTACCACTATTTTATTAAAAGCATTCTGAAGGAAGGGTGGAAGAGTCAAAGGACACTTTAGGATTGTTGGGTACTTTAAAGGTACTCAAAATATTGCTGGATTACCACTGTACAGTGGACATGTGAAGCATCTATGGTAGAATGTAGTGAGAGAATACTTAAATCTCAAAATCTTAAACATTTTATCCTATACATCTATGTATTAGTGTATGAGACTTACATACATAACACACACACACACACACACACACACACACACAGAGAGAGAGAGAGAGAGAGAGAGAGAGAGAGAGAGAGAGCAAGCACACAATAGCACCAGTAAGCACAGTAGCACCAGTAAGCACAGGCACCAAGCTGTCTACGTGGAGGTCAGATGACATCTCATTTCCATCTTCCCACTTCGCCATCTGGGTCCCAAGGATGGAAATTAGACCATTAAGCTTGGCAGCGAGAAACTTTACTTGCTAAACCAACTCACTGGTGCCTGAATGTCTAAGTCTTTAACTTCCTCTTGAACTACATTCAACCGAGCAAGCACAGAGATACATATCTTTTTATGTATTTTCAGAGATGACAAAACTGGAGAGAAGTATTTACTGGAAGGTTGCCTCTAACAGCAGGATTCCCCATAGAAACCCAACTGATCTGGGTTAATCAGTGCCATTTCTAGGCAAAGATATTTAGTAAGAAGGGGAAGGTGGTGCATACTTGGAACCCAGCACTTGGGAAGCTGAGGCAGGAGGAATGCCTTGAGTTTGAGGATAACCTGGGATACAGGGTGAGTTCCAGACCATCAAAGTTTACAGTGTGAGACAAAAGAAAAAGAAAAATAATTAGCACAAGACAAATAATCCAAAAAATTTTAGGCATGCATGATGGTGCAAGTCTATAATCCCATCACCAGGGAAGCTGAGGCAAAAGGGTTGCTAGAAGTTCTACGCCAGCCTGGGCTACCTAGCAAGCCCAGCTTCAAAGTAAAGAAAAAGATATTTAACAATGGGAGGACATAATAAGAAGCCTAGGATTTGTCAAGACTTCACAAGAAAGACTGGGAATTAGCAAGGTAGAAAGTCAGAGGTAAATCCCCAGCTCTATTCCCTAGATGTGCTCCCTGAGT